TTTTCATTTCATAATGGAAATCAACCCTTCCTAATGTAAGCTAAACATTTGCGGTGATTTGCTTTAGGAAAGTCACTTTTTAAAAATAAACAATTCTGATTTTCAAATATTGTTTTCGATTATTGTTTTATACTACAACTAAGCACTTCCCTTTTAGGACTTTCTTAGTGTGCATCTTCTAGAAGCAGAAAGAAAAAGACAATTTAAGAAAAAAAAGTACCAAGCTGCTTATAGAAGGGGCAATCCCAGGAAAAAGTGGCAAGGAAGGAAAGGAACTGGGAAGGGAGAATATTATCAAGCAAACCTCTTGGTTAGCTAAATTCCCTAGGGAATGAGGAGTGCATATCTTGGAACTATTCCCTTTCTGGGGATAAAGGACAGCGTGTTTTCACCAACTCCCAGAATTACTGGTTGAAGCCTGCTATGGCAGAGAGCACTGATATCTTGGAACTTCCTGTTTGTCTGAGCTCAGATGAGCAGGCAACAGCGTGGTCACACCGTCCACCCTGTGAACCACTCACACCCGCGCTCCCCACATCGTGGTCACACCGTGCCATCACCGATGATCCTTGAAAGTAGGGACTAGTTCCAATTTCTAAGAGAAAGGGACTTGCAGAAAGGAAATTAATGGGAGCAGCTGTGGAATTCACTGCTGAGGTCAGCCCTGGGTCCATACATCTCCCTCTTTACCGTTCATTCTAGGGCCAGGTCTAATGCGGGTCTAGTTGTTTGTCCTGTAGGTAGTCAGCTTTCATTCCTGCGTCTCAGCATGAAGATGTATGTCAGAGATTCCCCAGAGATCAAGATTACCTTCCCAGCCCCAACTATATGATCTCAGACCTCCTTCCACCTGCCAGACTCCTTCAAGGCTGTGGAGCCGAAAATGGCCAGTTGGTGGCAGAAGTTTCCGTTCTGTGAAACGACTGGGATCTCTGCTACCATCATCTCTCTTACAAACCGGAGCCAGTCCACGACCACCAGAGTCCTAAATTGTGAGAGGTGGCCCAAATCAGTCGCGGAATGATGGGGATCAGGAGCACTTCTTCCGTTACTTGACTCAGGGCATCTTCCTCATCTTTTGAAGTACGCTGATCTCTCTGTCCCACACAATACTAAACAGGGCCGTACCTGGACCTTTGAGATGCCTGTCTGATACACTGGCTACTTCTCGGTGCGCTGGGATGTGGTGGAGACAGTAGATCCCACACTTACGCACCTCTTACAATATCCGCTTTGCTGTGAAGAGGATCCTTTGATCTGAGACAATATTACGTGATATTTGTGGTAACAAATGAGACAAAATCAACTGACTATGGATGGGGAGGGCAAACCCATCTGCGTCTCTGTCTCTTGTCCCTTACAGTGGGAAGAGATCCTGTATAACCAGACCACCAGTGATGGGAGTTCTGGCTTAGTCTCATCTCAGCCGTGGGGAAGTAGAGCATCTCTAGTGGTGAATATGTGACTTGTTAAATCATGATGTAGCCTCTGTCACTTTATCCTGCCCCCCAAAGCGTTCCTTCCCATTTAGGAACCTGTAGTACTCAGAGGACCAAGGAAAGACCAGCTAGCATCTCCTGGGTAATGATCTTGCTCACCTGTTCAGCCCCTCTTCACAAATGTATGGCTTGTGAATGGAAAGGTCCACACGTTTCATCCTTGCCGATACTAGTTTTCCATGCCGCATAAAAAAAAATGCCCTTATTATCTCATAGTTTCCATGGCCAGGGGTTCTGGCCTAGATCAGAGAGGTCCTCTGCAAGCAGGTGTTGACTGAAATGCGCTTTTAGCTGGATATACGACCACTGAAGAATCCATCCCATTATAAGGAACATCAGCCTCTGGTCATTAGGACCCAGGCTCCGGTTCTCTTTAGCCATTGGCTACCTGCTGCTCTCCACTCCTGAAGGTCAGACACCATTCCTTGTCACGTGGTCCTCTCTCCTGCGTAGCAGCTTCCTTCTGAGCAAACAGGCTATAAGATAACCATGAGAAGCAAGTCACACATCCCACTTGCATTCAAAGGAAGAGGATCACGCAAGAATGCGGCTGGGATGGGAAGAGCTCGCTTTAAACATATCTGCCAAACCATTTCTAAGTCCAGTCACAGGCTTCTCCAGTATTCCCGCTCTCAAGCCCGCCATCTTGAGGGATTATAAATTCTACTCAAAGCTCCGCCTGCAGGAAGATTCCCCATGATGACTATTTTTCAGAGCCCCCCCCCCAAGTGGAACTGACAGCTCGAAGTGTTCCTTTTGCAGATTGCACTGATAGACCACGATTCTCCTGTGATGTCTTTCCCTCTGTGTCAGCTGCTCCCAGGGAAGCCGACCTGCATTTTGCCTATTTGTGATCCCTGTGTTTGCTCTTCCAGACCTGCTTAGACTCCATCACTGTCCTCCATCTTCTCACTCCAGGGGTTCCTGCAGCACTTGCTCAATTGGAGCACTCCACCTGGCCGTCCTTGAGAGATAACATTTCTCCAGTTGATGCTTAAAGTTTCTCTTAGAGAAGGACTGTGGCGTCACCAGTAAAAATACTTATGGAGTGTCACTCAGTCTGTGCCTAGCCTCCCGTTCAGTAAGTTAGTTCCTGGGCTGGAAGCAGGACTCACTGTGCCTGAGGCTGCTGATGTATCACCGTGTGGTTCAGTAGCCCCTTATGTTTTCCAAGTGTGTTGGCCGACACTTTCCACTGCCTGCTCCCTGACCTCAGCTTTAGGAATGCCACGGGGTTTCTAACATCGCTGCTAAGCACTGTGGGTCTTGCATCAGGTTATCCTGAGACTGTTCCCCAGTTTAAATGTGTGTCTATAAATGGCCTCTGCACTTCCAAAGTCCCCCCGTGTCACATGGGAACCCAGGAGCAGGACAAGCCTCACCACTATCCTCAGCCCCTGGAACACCTTACTGTGCCTCCAAGTGTGTTAGTTTCTTATGGCCCATAGCTGTTCGGAAAGCACAGCACACTGATGAATGCTCTGGCCAACCAGTTCTGGGGGCCTTTAATGCCTTCCTCTGAAAGTTTGCCAAAGCAAGTCCAGCATTTCCATCTCAGTTACTGTGGCTTTCTGTCTCTTCCAAGATTTTAGGATCCTTACCAACAGTGAATTCAGACTGTGAGTATTGTTGCCTGACTGTCAAGCCATGAGCCCTGGGAAAGAGAAAAAAAAAGTCTGCAGACTCCTAGCTGGTTTAAATCCCCTTACCCTGAGGTCTGTCTGTGTGTCTCTCAACAGTGTGTGCCCGCCACACGATCTGCCTTCAGTGCACACGTCATTTCTAGGCAGTAACTGAAATAATGCACCCATTTCCTCAGGAAAACTCTGGTAGGGGAAGAGAGCTGTTACTGACATGGCTACAGGACTGGCCTATCATCTGGAGAAATGCCTGTGAAAAGAGCTTCATTTTAAAAATTTAGCCAGCCAAAGTTTGCCTTTTCAAACTGATTGGATAGAATTTATTTCAAACATTTTATTTTATTTTGGTTAGTTACAGCTTTAAATTTTTTCTTATTCTTCTTTTCATATTTGACTTTAATAGGGGCTGGAGGGATGGCTCAGTGGTTAAGAGCATTGGCTGTTCTTCCAGGGACCCGAGTTCAATTCCCAGCACCCACATGGCACTTCTCAACTGTCTGTAACATTAGTTGCAGGGGATCCAACACCTTCATACAGACATCTGGTGTGGGAAGTCCTTCTGTATATGTATTGTTTTTTTTGATTAATAAAGAAGCTGCTTTTGGCCAATAGGTTAGCAGAATATAGCCAAGCTATATTCTGCACACACATACACACACACACACACACACACACACATATATATATATATACACACATGTATACATATATACACACACACACACACACACACACACACACACATATATATATAAAGAGAGAGAGAGAGTAGGCAGAGTCAGTGAGAAGCCATGTGGCTAGCTGCAACAGGAGAAAGACGCAGGCCTCCAGCCAGAACCTTGCTAATAGGCCATGAGCCTCAGGGTAAAATATAAAATAATGGAAATGGTTAATTTAAGATACAAGAGTTAGCCAGAAATACACTTAAGCTATTGGCCAAACAATATTGCAAATAATATAGCTTTGAGTGATGATTTTATGGTCTGGGCAGCCAGGAACGAACAAGTGGCCTCCGCCAACAGACATATATGCAGGCAAAATACCAATGAACATAAAATATAATAAATTAATAAACAAAGAAAGAAACATAAACTTGGAGGAGTAAGGAGGTGAGAACTATCTGGGAAGAGTTGGGGTAGGGGAAACATTCAAAATATAGTGTATGAAAAATCTTTAAAAAAGAAAATTTAATAGTGCTAATTAGTATAGCATTAATTTAACATTCTGTTTCTGTTTAAATTTTTATGGTTACATTGATGTGATGAAGTATATTGTTTTTTTAGTTTTCAAGAATTGGGACTTTAAATACATTCATAATTATTTCATTGTAGTCAAGAAAAAAGTTTGTTATTTTTATTACTTATATAATATATTCATTGTATTTTTTAGGTTCAAATATCTAAATAATTTACAAGTGCTTGAAAAGGACATTAGGTCTTTGTACAAAAAACAAATCCAAAAGCTCACTGATCCAGTTTATTTCTAATTCATTCCAACAAAAGCTACACAGATTAAAATGTGCTGTCAGAGACAACAAGTTTGAAGTGGAAGACTGTGCCCATAACTCTCTTCAAAGCTCACACTAGCAAATGCTTTCCAGAATGATTTAAATGTCAGCCTTGTAGAAATTTAACAAGTATTGAAACATGCATGTGTGTGTATGTATATATGTTTTGTCAATTTGATTGTTGGACGTGTTGACCTTTCTTTTAAACAGCTTTGGTTATTTTGTTTCTCTCTCAAGCATTTAATGCTATGGAATGGTTCCAGGGATAAGTACATTCACAGAGTTCTTCCCCATCCTCCTGCTCCATCAACTGTACGCCTTCAGCTCTTCTTCTGTTTTGTAGTGTTTTCGATTATGGCGTCGGCAGAGAAGACAGAAGAATGTCCTTTTGCAGATATCTTTAATGAAGATGAAGCTGAGAGAAACTATTTGTTGTCCAAACCTACTTGCTTTATTATATTTGGAAAACCAGTAAGTTATCTCTTCTAACATTTGGTAATTTGTATTTTAAAATCTCAGTCTTATATTACCATACAAGAATGGAAATCACACAGTACGTTCATATTTTCTTTAGTGTCTGATAGATTTTCATAATATCACTTCAACTCTGATAGAATATTGATTTTGAGTTCTTATGCTAGTCACTAGAAGAAAAACCTAGGCTACACTGATGTTGGTTTTAATAGTATAAGGATATAACAACAAAACTCTGTACTTTGGTGATTGTTGCTGCTCTGTGATCTAAGGTTACTTCAGATTTGATTTGAATATAAGATATAGAAACTAGCCACGAGGCTCTCCAGATATAGGAGATGAACTGGGGTGTCTATGAACCCCAAAAGGTGCTGAGGGCAAATGGGAATGGAATGTATAAAATGTATGCCCTGGCCATGCTGAAGCATGCGTGGCAGCCCATGTATGGCGCTTCTGTTGAACTTGTCTATATTGGGTTTCATGGTCTACGTTGATGAGGACAACTGACCAGGTCCCTTCCTCAAGAGGGCACCAGATCTCATTACATGGTTGTGAGCCACCACGTGGTTGCTGAGAATCATTTCTCCAGTCCGAGGACAAATGGGCCTGTAGTGTATTGTAGAACCAGCTATTGTCTTCCTGACAAATGGGAAGAACCCAGAAGGTGCTGTTATAAAATTGCTCACTTCTCTGCAGCTGGAGGAAGGACCTCAGGGTAAGCTCTGCCTTCGGCCACTGAGCTGATTGGCAGCTAGAGGTCTGGGCTAGTCAGTTAGAGAACCTTCCAGAACAGCCAAGGCCAAAGGAGAGCCTATCTTTGGTTTCATTTTTGATAGAAACCATAGGACAGGTAACCAAGAAACATTCCAACAATTTTTATTAGAAACCATGATTCTAAAACTATGGTTCTAACTACGGATATAATGTCATCCCTGAGAACACCCAGAGGCAAGTATCACTTCACAGGAATGAGCTTGTAACTCTGAAACAGGATGCTCTCCAGTCAGCTAAGAGGTTTATCTGCTCTTCAGCACTGCTGTGTGAGCTGACACTGCAGTCACAGCAGTTTACGAGGCTGAGGCAGGAGGATCACAACCTTATGCTCTGCTCTGGCTGCAGAGTGAGTTCAAGACCAGCCTGGGCAACTTGCTGAGGCTCTGTCTCAAAATGGAAGTAAGGACAGGGCTGATGATATTGTTCAGTGGCCAGGTTCTCACTCACATAGCCACAATATGTTTAGAAAAAAAAAAGAGGAAATAAAATTATTCAGTGGAAGTCACCAAAACTTCCCTTTTCTTTATGAAGAAAATAAAATGACAAATCTCGATGTATTGTATGATGATTTATAATTAGAATTACAATTTTTGTAATATCCAGATGATGTATTGTCCTGATTTATATAGCTTCCTAATTTCCTTCAATAATAATATAGATAAGCTCAGCGTATGTGGGATATGTAAGAAGTAGTGGAGAAAAAAGGGCCCTCTTTATTTTATAGGATAAACATTTATGTAACAATAAACATCAGTGGAATTCTCTGTATTGGTGCCTCTGCTTCACCGTGAAATGAAAGTTTTGCTGGGTTTTAATACCATTTCTCTTTCCAAGGGGTCTGGGAAGACAACATTAGCCCGTAATATAGCACAAGCTTGGAAATGTATTCGTGTTGAAGGTAAATTTAATTTTTTCCCTGTATTTAGTATGAATAATTCCAAAGATTTGCGATATAAACTGCATAATGAATTCCAATCTAAGAGTCCATAATTACTGTTTTATCACGTTCCCTTCATCGCACACATCTCTACCTGCTGACTATCAACCCACTAATAGCATCACTCCAGTCATGCCTGTCAAATGCCTTTGACTCTGTCCCTCCTCCTTTATTTCCATCGGAATTGTTTATATGTGTGCATGAGCATGTTCTTAGAGATGGTCTTCAGAGCATTTCCCACAACTTTATTACCCCATTGGAAAAAGTATATTTTTACTCATAAATTTCCTTACGTTCTTTGACATATGTAAGTCAACAGGTTGGTACACACACACACACACACACACACACACACACATCTTCCTAACCAGTAAAGCTATCTGCTTCCTAATAGAAAAGTTTTTTAAAAAAAGGATGAATAAGAAATCCATAAACAGAGGGACTGGGGAGTTGGTTCAGTCAGTGCCGTGCTTGCCACACAAGCATGGGACCTGAGGTCTCTGCCCAGCACCCATGTAAACCAAAGCCAGGTAATGTGGCAAACGCTCGCAGTCCTGTGCTGGGCAAGAAGCGACAGGAGGATGGCTGGAGCTCACTGGTCAGCCAGCCTAGCCTAAGTGACTGTTGAGGCCCCGACCCCAGTGAGACCCTGTCTCAACACCCAAGGTGGACGAGTGCTGGGCTGTGCACACGTGCACACACACTCATCCATAGGCACAGGTGCACACACAGTGCGCACACATACACACACACAGTACTCGGGAAAGTAGAGCTGAACCCAAGGAATAGAAGAAAAGTTTCATCTCATATTATTAAAAATTAACACTGATTCATATTTGTCTGACAAGTTGGTGGTGAAGCATTAAAATCACTGGCCTAACTGTGATCATAGTTGGCAAGGAGGTATAGAACGGGCATCCCGAACACCACTAGTGAAACTGGGGTGCCATAGTTTTCCTGTGTGTGTGGAGAACAATCAGTAACACAGGACACACTCCATAGATCTTGGAAAGTTTCCTCTTTTTTTTAAAAAAGATTTACTCCTGTTTTAAGAGTATGAGTGTTTTTTCCTCATAAATGAATATGTACCACATGTGTTCCTTGTGTCCATGGAAGCCAGAAGAGGTCTTAGGTCCTCCGGAGCTGGAGTTACAGAAGGTACTGAGCCTCCATGTGGACCTTCTCCTTAGCCACTGAGCACCTCTCCAGCCCGTTTTTTGTTGTTGTTGTTGTTGCTGTTTTGTTTTGTTTTAAATAAAGAAGCTTAGAGAGTCTTAAAGAACATCAAGGCATCTATAAATTCCTAACGACCGGTGCCACAATTCAACTCAAATCTTCGCCTAAGTCAAGCTCCTCCCATTCCCACCAGATTGTCTTCCATCAGAGAATGCCATATTTACTAGAATTCTCAGGGTTCCTCTTTGAATCGGGGTTCTCCATTTTCACATTTCCTGATGCGTTCTTTCCTTCTATATGATCAGCATAGACATTAATGAGAGCATGGCACCGGAAGGATCTAGACTGATCGTGCTGCTGTGCACTTCCGCATGTATGGGGCCAATCACACATACCGCCCCATTCCGTCCTCCTACCGTCCACTGCCCCCCGCAGGACACAGTCATCCGAGGCACAGCGGTCCAGTCCACTCAGATTTTAACCTGGTGGAGTGGCCAAGACAAGTTCCCCGCAGAACAGTCCTTCACTTCTACTTTGGCCAACCCTAACCAATCGAACATGCATAAAGATGCTTTGCAAATTAAGTGATATAGCCGCCGCTTAGCAAACATTCCGAAAATGTTTCTAAGTTTAGCAGTCCGAATATTCGCTTGCACTCACATGTTGCCCTCGCGTTTCAGCTTTACCGGTTTTGGAGGAACACATTGCCACCGAGACTGAAACGGGAACTATGGTGAGCAAATCTACATTTCCAAGTTACGACAATGAGCCAGAAACTGTGAATCCCAGAGACTGTGCAGTAACGCACAGCGTCTGTGCTTCTTCTAGCTGCAGTCGCTGCTGATGAGCGGTCACAGCATCCCGGACGAGCTCGTCACGAGACTGATCCTGGAGAAGCTCAATTCTCCGGAAGTCTCTCACTTTGGTATGTGCCTGTGTGCTTGTGTGCCTGCGTGCGTGCGTGCATGCCTGTATGCGTGCGTACGTGCGTATATGCATGCAAGCGTCTGCAGGGAAGCACCAACAGTAGTTTCCTGGATTCCTCTTTTGCATTGGCCCAGGAATCTTACAGCCCCTACTGAGCTGAGCATCTAAGATAGATTCAAGTGCTTCTTTGTCTTTAATTCTCCAGTGTCCACCTTTGCTTTTTGGTTTTTTTGTTGATGGTAGATTTTCCAATACAGGGTTTCTCTGTGTAACAGCTCTGGCTGTGCTGGAACTCACTCTATAGACCAGGCTGGCCTCGAACTCTGCCTCCCTCTGCCTCCGGAGTGCTGGGAGAAGTGTGCCACCAACCTCAACTCTACTATCGATGAATCAAAGCATCAAAACGGTGCACTGATCTTCTTGCACCCACCACCTCTGGCTTCTCCTGTCTGCTCTCCTCTTCACCCTGCTATTGTAGTGTTTGTCAGCAGTCACTCTCTCTTAAATTTGTATCAATAAACCAAGATCCATACTAAAGCAAATTATTTATCACTATAGCATATCCCCCTTTAAATATAAACAAACAAGTATAAACAATATTTGGGAATATGGGAGTAGTTATTTTTCTCTAAACTTTTTTTGCTGTTTATTGGGTGAATTTTTTTTTCTGGGAGTGTTTACAGCAACCTTTTAGGGGGTCTTGTTTCCTCAAACCAAATTGATCTGGAAGCAATCCACAGGTTTTCATCTTTTGTGGAAACAAAAGAAGAACCTCTTTTTTAAAGCAACATATCCTTGGACTCAAATTTTGGAGTCAGGATGATGGTTTACTTTAGCAGCCCATACAATGAAATGTTTCTCTGTACTTAACTCCTTCACCATCAAAAAACTCAAAGAAAGCAAAATAATATACAAACTCCAGATTCTCTGTGTATATTTGATCTTTATGTGGCTTATTTTTTTACTTCTTTTAATTTATGAGTGTCTGTATTTTGTCTCTTTAAAGACTTTTCTTAGCCGGGCGGTGGTGGCGCACGCCTTTAATCCCAGCACTCGGGAGGCAGAGGCAGGCGGATCTCTATGAGTTCGAGGCCAGCCTGGTCTACAAGAGCTAGTTCCAGGACAGGAACCAAAAGCTACGGAGAAACCCTGTCTCGAAAAATCAAAAAAATAAAAAAATAAATAAATAAATAAATAAATAAAGACTTTTCTTAAAATGATTTACCTCTTTTCCAACTCTCTATACTCTTTCTCGTCTCTTTCCCAAGCCTATGTACATTTATCCAATTTAGATCCATTTAGAGGTTTTTTTTTAATGTCTGAATCTGTTCTTATTGTGTTATCTGTAATTCTTTACTGTCTTAAATAGCTTTTAAAATGGTAAGTGGCTTGGTTGCAGCTGCTCTGGATGCTGGCTCCGCCTCTCTCCACTTTGCACCATTACTGCCAGGTCTGGTAGGAGCTGCACTCAGCACTTCAACTCTAGAATGAGCATGCAGCCCATGAACCCTTTTAATCTGAGTAATAGCTAAATCTGCCATGCAGCACACTGCGGAGCCTGGAAATATTTCTGTGCATGGCAGCCAGAATCCACCATGCTCTCCCGCCTGTGCTTGCCTAGGAGACCTGATCCTGCTGCCTGCCTAGGTGGGGAGCTCCAAGCCAAGGGCATAGTCTCAGCTACTTTTCTCCCAACTCCAAGTGGGCACACAAACACCCGGACCCACAAATGACATTGGAATGCTCTATCGCCTGAGTTTGTGCTGGCAGCACAGCCCAGGAAGCCGTCTTTTTAAAAAGGTGTGACTTTTTTCAGGCTACCAGTGAATCAGGAAAAGCTTCCTTAGGGGAGCTGTAGCATGCCACCAGAGGGGGAAAATGTAGTTAAATTTTATTTTTATGTGTCTTGAGTTTCTTTTTAAGCATTTTTAGGTTTTACATGGATTTAGTTGGCCATGTGGGCACTAATTTGTAGGAGAAAGGAGCCACTTGTATGTGGCACACACCTGTAATCCCAGCACTCGGGAGGCAGAGGCAGGTGGATCCCTGTGAGTTCAAGGACAGCCTGGTCTACAAGAGCTAGTTCCAGGACAGGTTCCAAAGCTACAGAGAAACCCTGTCTCAGAAAACAACCAAACAAACAAACAAAAAAAGAATTAAAAATAAAGTATGGTGCAGTAAAAACTATGTCACAGAAAACAGGAAAGATGCAACAGATAGTATCCTTCACCCTTTAAGTAGCTATCTCACTTTATTGAAAGACGCAACAGATAGTATCCTTCACCCTTTAAGTAGCTATCTCGCTTTATTGAAAGACGCAACAGATAGTATCCTTCACCCTTTAAGTAGCTATCTCGCTTTATTGAAAGACGCAACAGATAGTATCGTTCACCCTTTAAGTAGCTATCTCGCTTTATTTACTTGTTACAAATTTTTTGCTAAGTTCTCAAGGCTGAAACATAGCTTACAATTGTTCCTCAAAGGGGAAAAATCATTAAAATAGCAGAAAAACATATTTAAGTTCTTTCATTTCTAGCTGAGGAATTGATACATATTTTAGTAATGAGAGAAAAGTTTCTTGGGTCAGCAAGTGACATAATTTTAAAGTGTATTGAGGGAACAACATGATGGTGGTACCCAAGACTCCCTGGGGAAACAACATGATGGTGGTACTCAAGACTCCCTGGGGAAACAACATGATGGTGGTACTCAAGACTCATTGCAGTGAGATTTCTCCTTCTGTGTGGGATGCAAGTCAATGAGTGTTCTAAAGCCCCAACTATACTGTGTTGAAGGAGGAGGGCCTGCTAATTCATCCCGGCCTCCCAGCTAGCTTAGCCCCGAAATAACCACAAAGAAAACAGTACTAATTAAATCACTGCTTGGACCATTATCTCTAACTTCTTATTGGCTAACTCTTACATCTTAATTTAGCCCATTTCTATTAATCTACATATCGCCATGTGGCAGTGGCTTACCAGCAAAGATTTGGCATGTCTGACTCTAGAAGCGGCTCCATAATGTCTCGCTCTGACTCCACCCTTCTTCCTCCCAGCATTCAGTTCTGTCTTCCTCACCTACCTAAGTTCTGCCCTATCAACAGGACAAGGCAGTTTCTTTATTCATTAACCAAGAAAAGCAACACACAAAGGGGACTCCCACATCACTGTGTTCTGTTTCTTATGTACAAAGGGTACACAGGTTTTCATCACTCTCTATAACTACATAGATATTGTATGCATGTGTCCTACAATGTTATGAAAAACTAATCTAAAGATGAAAATAATAGGTCATATAAAAAGAGTCATATAACTGTTTCTACTTGAGTTAAAAGTATTAGCCTGGGGTTTCTTTCCATAAGTGTCTCATCTAAATCAAACTGACTTAGATTTTTAAAGAATTTAAAACATCTATTTACTTACTGTTACAGTTAAGGGGGACATATGAACACTATGGCGTGCATGTGGAGGTCAAAGGACACCTTGAGGGAGCTGGTGCTCTTCTTCCAGCCTATGAACCCTGGGGAATGTGACAAAGACCTTTACCCCCCTGCTCCATCTTGCCTGTCCCTGACTTAGAATTTCTAAAGATGTTTCCTCCTCCCAGATGGTGATTTCTTTCTAATCAGAAGAGAATCATTCATAGCTACACTTCATGTGGTAATAACTTAAAATTCACAACAGATAATTTTATAAATTTTACTTACTTGTTAATATTTTAATATTTTATAAATTATAATAAAGCTGTGCTATCACTCAGTGATATTATAAATTGTTACATATTTTACAGGTTACATCATCACTGAAATGCCATCACTCGCACAGGATACTGTGACCACTTTGAAGCAACTGGAATTTGTTAAAAATTTAGAATTGCAACCAGATGTTATAATCAATATTAAGGTAAGTGTTAGAGGAGGCCACTTGTTCGTCCCAGCTGCCTAGAACCAAAATAACGACACAGAAACTATATTAATTTTAAAACAATACTTGGCCCATTAGCTCTAACTCTTACATCTTAATTTAACCCATTTCAAGTAATCTGTGCATCACCATGGGGTAGCGACCTGCCAGCAAAGTTTCAGCACGTCTGTCTCCGGCAGCTCACTGGCTTCTCTCTAACTCCGCCTTCCTCCTCCCATGCTATAGGCCAAGCCAGTTTTCTTTATTCATTAACCAATAAAATCCACACATAGACAGAAGGACCTCCCACACCAGGTAAAGATATTAGTTGCTTACTGAAATAGCAAATCTTTTCTTTTCAGAGAACTTGAGTTCAAATAATGCTTTCATACTTAAAGTTTATTTTACTTTTAATAGTGTGTCTGTATGTAGGCTTGTACATGTGAGTCAGATGCTTAAGAAGGCCAGAAGGGGGCGTCAGATCCCCCAAGTCCCCAAGGCTAGAGCTACAGGCAGTTGTGAGCCACCTGATGTGGGTGCTGGGACTTGAACTTGGGTCCTCTGCACAAGCAGTACATGCCCTTAAGCACTAAGTTGTGGCTCCAGCCCAGGCTTTCTGGGTAGTTATGGAAACAGCCATTTATGTATCACACTTCTGGGTTTCTGCTCCTGAAGCTCCACCCACCAGAAACATCTTTGCCCCATCACCAGACGTCATCATAGCTAACTTTTGTAAGGCAGTGTGGACATCATCTCATCAGAACTCGTCCTGGCAGCCTTTCCGTCACTGCCACCACACAGACAGACAGACAGACACACACACACACACACACACACATGCCCTTACCACTCAGTTGTTTATTACTTCTCTGGGAGCCTTCCCTGTTTCTCTCTTCTCTAATATTCCTCACCTCTCTGTATATCCTTCACAAGCCCTATTTGAGGGTATAATCATGACTCACCCATATAAGCTCCACCTGGTACACCGCATGACACCTAATCACTTCTAATAACCTTAGCAATTAAATAAAAGAGTAGGCAAATGACTCCTATGTATAGTGTCGAGGCACACTGCATGGCGCTGATCAAGTCAGGGTTGGATTGTATTTCCAATTCTCCTCTTTGTCTTCTACTGGAATTTGACAGACTGCTTAGATGCCTCTATTCCCTCTTTACAAAGATGGTAACAGCCACTTCATGGGCTTGTGATCAGAATTTGATATGACATTGTCTACTTGTTTTGTGAATATGGAAGGCAAGCTTTGGTGTTCAGACGCTGAGAGTTTATTATTGGGGACCTCTGAGTGCCAGCCTCAGTGCCCCCTCAGGGTTCAGAAGAAGACTCAGCAGGCACAGGACCTAGAAGGATCTGAGGGTGCAGTGAACTCTCCACTGCATACTTTTCTGCACCAGTTTCTTTATTCCTTTCCTGCTGTTCTCTTCCTGTTCTGTAAAGTTTCCAATTTAGATACACACGTAGAACAAAGACAACTCTCTAAGCTTGGATGCCCCTTTATCTTTGAAGGCCCCAAACATGATCTATATAAAAGACTCCTTTCCTGACTGCATGTCCTGCCAAATGGAAAACAATTGCAGGGAGGTGACTTCTAATATATCTCAGGGAACAGAACAGAGATATGGCTTTGGGAACCAAGGTTTCTGGCTACATGACTGAATTCTCTCACTGGAGGCCTTCTGGGGTGGGAGAAGACATCCAGTAAGCCAAAGAACAAGGCAGGATTTTCAGTATCCACAGTCCTGGTGGGACAAATAGATCCAGTTATGAAGCAAGTCCCAGTATATATTCTGTATATCAGAACTATATAGCTAAATGAAAAGTCATCTTTGTGACTACCCACAGATATATGTGCCCGTAAGATTGAGATGCAATCATGGGATTACATATACACATCACATGAGATTATACATTACAATGCAGGTATAGGGGAGACACCAAGCTGCTTCAGCAAAAGAGAACAACAGCTTTCAGAGTTGATGGTGCTGCAGACCTTGTCTGGACAGGATTAACCTCCATCAGATAATCACACTTCTAGTGTATTGACATCTGAACACTAGCTGCCACCTGGTTCTCATGGCCTGTGACTCAAACAGGTGAAGACTGACAGCTAAAATCACCCTCTGACTTCCACAGGTACATTGTGGCAAGTACATGCTCATATATACACCTGACTTTAAAAAAATCTGAGGGCTTTATGAGGGTTCAAAATAGATTTGGTCCTCAGCTCTGATATTGAGACTCAAGGATGTGTCAGGGTCAGCTCTGAGAGAGGAAGCCTTCTAATGCTGAGTGTGCTGTGTTCTGTAGCCCTGCCACTGCTAATGGGCAGGCGTGAACCAAAATCCTGAGCAGGCCAGGTGTGATGATACAGGGCAGCTGTAGTGATTCAGGGTCAGGTGTGATGATGCAGGGCAGCTGTGGTGATGCAGGGTCAGGTGTGATGATGCAGGGCAGATGTGATGATGCAGGGCAGATGTGATGATGCAGGCCAGGTGTGGTGATGCAGGGCAGCTGTGGTGATGCAGGGCCAGGTGTGGTGATGCAGGGCAGCTGTGGTGATGCAGGCCAGGTGTGGTGATGCAGGGAAGCTGTAGTGATGCAGGCCAGGTGTGGTGATGCAGGGCCAGTTGTGGTGATCCAGGGCCAGTTGTGGTGATCCAGGGCCAGATGTGCTGATGCAGGGCCAGGGTTGGTGATGCAGGGTCAGGTGTGGTGATGCAGGGCAGCTGTGGTGATGCAGGCCAGGTGTGGTGATGCAGGACAGCTGTGGTGTTGCAGGGCCAGGTGTGGTGATGCAGGGCAGCTGTGGTGATGCAGGCCAGGTGTGGTGATGCAGGGCCAGTGTGGTGATCCAGGGCCAGATGTGCTGATGCAGGGCCAGGTGTGGTGATGCAGGCCAGGTGTGGTGATGCATGCAGAAGAATCAGAAGTTTGAATTTAGGCCTAGACTATCTAATAAGACAAAAAAAAATCCAATCAAACTTGAGAATGAGAAACATAAGAACATTTGCTACAGAAAAAGAAGATAAGCTTCATTAACTAAAACCAAACATAATGTCCAAGGCAGTAAAGTACAGATTACATAAGAAACTGAACTGGTAAAAAGAGAGCACACAAGCCAAAGGCCCCAAACGCTTACTACATTAGAGTGCTGAATTTGGCTCTAATTTTCCTGATTTCATTCCTGTTTTGACAAAATACTCTGACAAAAGCCAGGGAGAAAGCTTTTTTTTTTTTTTTTTTTTTTTTTTTTTTTTTTTTTTTTCAATTCTAGGTAAGGCCTCTGCTTGGTTTTTATTTCCAGCTTGGCACAAAGTAGAGTTACCTGGGAAGTGGAAACAGGACTCTCAGTTGAGGAATTTGTCCATCTCAGACCAGCCTGTAAGCCTGTCTGTGGGGCATAACTGATGCAGGAGGTTCCAGCCCATAGTGGGTAGTGCTATCCCCTGAGCAGTGGTTCTGAAAGACCTCTGGATCGGGGAGACTCTCACTCAAGTCTCAGGATAACACGACCCCCCAGGAACTCACGAGAGACCGTCCTTGCTGCAATCACAGGAGGTTTATTGACAGGACAGAAACCAGTGCACTGGGGCCAAGACTCATAAACCACACCGGGGACAGGGGAGGAGTTCGACCTTGAGTAACTGGGAGAAGGGGTTTTTAAGGGAAGAAACCACAACCCAGTAATCCAAAGAGGGTAGGGAGGGCATCATAGAAAATTCCAAAAATACCAGTGATGATCACAAGGGGGCAACTCCCTGTTTCTCAAGATTATTCTCAAGATTATAATCAGCTGGTTTCTGAAACAGAGTATTCCAAAAATACCAGTGATAATCACAAGGGGGTAACTCTCTGTTTCTCAAGATTATTCTCAAGATTATAATCTAACTTTATCTTCAGCTAGTTCCTGAAACAGAATCACTGAACCTAGATTTTTGGCTCTATTTTTCCTGCTAGAGGGGTCTGGATTTATCCAGGTCTTTCAGTTCTGGTCTCTATAAAAATGCCTGCTGAGCTCTGAGTCAGAAAACAGGCCAATCTGCAGCTTCCTCCTAGTTTCTGCTCTATGTTCTTGCCCTGACTTCCTTCGGGTGGGTAATGGACTGTTACCTGGAAAATATAAGCCAAACCCTTTCTTCCATGAGGCAATTTTTGTTCATGGTTTTTATCACAGCAATAGAAAACAAACAAGACCCCGGTCCAACCTGGCAGGGAAGTCAATGCAGCCAGAACTGAAATACCTAGGTGTCCCACTTCCAGTCAAGAGTGGAGAGAAACAAATGTGGGCATGTCTACTGTTCAGATAATGTCCTGTTCACCTCTGTGGTTCAGGACCCAAAGCTGGGGATGGGAGGCAGCTAATTTCAGGCTGGGTTGTCCCATTTCCCCATCAATTAGAGCAATCAGAACTGTCCTTCACTAACATGCCCAGAGGCCAATTTTATCTAGGCAGTCCACAGGTCTGTTTTCCCAGGTAATTTTAGCTTGGTAATTCTTCCCAGGTAATTTAATTTGACAATTAAAATGCATACTAATCTGAAGTAGCGGAAGGGGAATTGTGATTAGTTATTAGTCAGGAGAAAAGCCATTCCTCAGGAAGAATAAGTCTCCCAGGTCAGATAAGAGAATTGTTCTATTGACATCACAAAGGAGAAGGCTCCACAGAGGGAAGGAAGTTCTTAACTTTGTTCCTTTTTGCCCCAGTAAATAAATACAGCCCAGGACAACACAAGCTTCTCAATAGTTTGGGGTTAGCTGAAAAAAAAAAAAGCCTGTGACTTCTAATGCCTAGAAGTTTCCAGCCTGGGACCCATGATGCTCAGAACACCCATAAATCTCTTTCAATCATATGCAAAAAAATGTGTGTATGTGTATTTTCTGATGCAAACTGTATGGCTTCCATGATACTTTTTAAAGGGGTCTGCACCACAGAGAACACTACGGTCAGCAGGCAACTAGAGCAGGTTCTCAGAAAATGGTAGCAGTGTCCTCATGCTTGTTCAAATGCAAATTCTTGAGCTAAGGATCAGAAACTGTACGAGTAGCATACAGCTTTTAGGCTGCATGGTCTTCGAAGTGATCCTCAAGCTTTCAAACTGTAATGATCTGTCCTGTCCCTTTAAGAGAGAAGCCCCACCCACTCCCTCCCCCACTCCATTCACTGAGGCAAGCAGATCTTTGTTCCCTTTCCAACCTGAGTTCCTTCCTTTCTGTCTCTCTCTCCCAAAGAGGCAGCATCTGCGACTCTCTCTTCCCCCAACTTCTCCCCTTCCCCCCTCCTCTCTCTGTCTCTGTCTCTGTCTCTCTGTTTCTCTTTCTCTCTCTCTCTCTGCTTGTCTCCCTTCTCCCCTTTCCCCTTTCCCTTTCCTCTCCATAACCCACTAAATGAATACCCATTTTCTCTGCCTGGCATGCCTAATAGGCCTCTTTCTCTCACCTGCCACGCAGCTCCCTGCCTGGGAACGGCTGCCTTCGTGGTCTGCCATGGTCTTGTGCCAGCTGCCCACTGCCACCACTCGGAGACCTGCAGTGTTTTACCATAACATATGGTGCTCGTGACTCAGTCAGGCTCTCTCCACATTTCCTCCAGTCCTCAAGCAGGCCAGCTAAGGACACATAGAACCCTGGGCTCAGGAATCTGGTTTCTTCACAACAGCTCTGTGCATCCAGTTTTGTTCATGGCTTCCGGCAACTGAACTCAGGTCATGAGTCTTGCTCAGCAAGCAGTTTAACTCACTGAGCAATTCTCCGCCCCTTCATCTAGATTTTTTAAAATTATACAAAGCATTCAGAGCAGGATCGGCAGTCTCACTGCATCGTGAATGATAAAGCACACAGAGAGCTCAGGGATGGATGGGAAGACCATGTGATGCTGCGATTTTAGCCTGGCCGTATTTCCCTGATCTGCAAGGTATCCGATTACTTCCCTTTGGGGGTGGCTTGCGAACTGAGAGAATCCATGCACACGGAAGCATCATGAAAGATGGAAGTTACCTGTACACTTTGGTTTGGGCTTTGGTTACCATGAGGAGTAAGTTTACTCCATTTGCAGAATTTAAAGGCTAGATAACGTGATCTTACAGCTGCCATTTCTGAATCTTATGAATTATTTTGTCCATAGAGTGACAATAAATATGGCACATACATACATGCACACACACACATATGTATTGGCAGAAGACACAAGACTTTCTTCTTCATTTTCCTTCATTTTAGCCTCTTTGAGCTAAAATAATAAAATTCTGTAAAACTTTGTAGATTAAACTGATTTTCTGTTCTTTTTTTATTAGTTTCACTATTCTGCTAGCTCTCTCCTATTTAAAATGTCTGATAATTTCATATATATTAATTTCAGACAAATAAACCTGTTAACCAGACCTGTAAATCATGTACTGAAGTTTGCCATGTACTAGAATTTAATGCAAAATACCACCACTGTATTGTATTTGCTCAACTTTCAGGAAAATTTAAAATTTTTTGTTGTTTTTGTTTTTTGTTTTTTTGTTGTTGTTGTTTTGTTTTGTTTTTTGAGACAGGGTTTCTCTGTAGCTTTGGAGTCTGTCCTGGCACTCATTCTGTAGACCAGGCTGGCCTCGAATTCACAGAGATCCGCCTGTCTCTGCCTCCCAAATGCTGGGATTAAAGGCGTGCATCACCACCTGACAGAAAATTTTAAATTTATCTGGTGGATAATATGAAACAAGAAATAAAAGCTTATTTAAAAAATTTAAATTCAAGCAAAGCTGAAGTTTATTCAAAGAGGAGTGAAGCCCAAAGTGTTAGGGAAATCATGCCTAGGAAAGAGAGGTGTTGGAGAGATGGTTCAGTGGTTAAGAGCACCAGCTGCTCTTTCAGAGGACTCAAGTTTAACTCCCAGCATTCATAAGGTGGCTCACAACCTCTGTAACTCCAGTTACAGGGGATCTGATGACTTCTTCTGGCCTTCAGGGGTACCAGGCACATATATGGGAAACAGACATACCTTAGGGCAAAACAACCTCACACATAAAATATAATAATAAAAACAATGATAGAAAGAAGAAAAAGCAAAGTTACATGTGTCTGAGCAATTCAGAAAAATAGACAGACTTAAGAAGCTTCATGTCTGAGGTTCTATAAGAGACTACACTATGAGGTGAGATTTCCTGAGAAGCAAAGGTACAGTATCTCATTAAAGGATAATTATTCCACCTACCTCTCTAGGGTGGCCTTGTGCGAGGCTGCCTTCCTAGAGAATGAAATGTGTGAACTGATTTAATCACATTGTTTCCGCAGTGTGGTGACTATGACTTATGCCAGAGAGTCTCTGGGCAAAGGCAGCACAGTTCCACAGGGTACATATACAACAGAGACCAGTGGGACCCCGAAATCATCGAGAGCCGCAGGAGACGGAAGAAGGAACTTCCCAAAGACGGAAAAGCTGAAGAGGAAGAAGAGGAAGAAGAACAAGAAGAGGAGGAGGTAATGTCTCAGGGTGGCCATTACCACATGACACCTTTGAAACCTTTTATGACTAAGTGACAGCCAGGGGAATGGCAGGTGCCAGAGAAAATGAAGGTTTTTATATATATATATATATATATATATATATATATATATATATATATATATATATTTAGTGTCTGGAGGAGATTGATAAAAAATACCTCATGTTTTTGGAAGTATTTGAATTTTAAAATACATCCATCATTAAAATTAGTATATGTTGATTACACAGAACAACAGGTTTTGTTTTAACATTTTCACACATGCATACAATGTTCCTTGGCCACACCTACCATCCCCATCATTCCTATTTGATGACATCACCCCTCCCAATGGTCTTCTCTCCATCCAAATACTCACCTTTCTATTTCAGGTCTGATTTATGTTTTTATCCAGTGCCACGTATGAGAGAAAACCATGCCGCTTTTCTTCCTGAGTGTAGCTATTTCACTTAGCACGATGAGGGTCTCCAGTTTTATTGCAACTGACATACTTGAACTCTTTATGGCAGAATCATACTGATGGCTGTGAAATATTATATATATAATAAAATATATATGTGTATATGTATTATAAAAACATGCACAGTACATTTTCTTTGCCCTCCACTAATAGGTGACCACATGGGCCGACCCCATGAACTTGGCTCTTGAGAGTAGTGCTGTAGCAAGCACGGGTTGCAGGAACCTTTGGCACACTGACTTCGATCCCCTTGCTGTAGAAACTCACATGTGGCACAGCTGAATTATGCAGTCATTGGAATTTTAGTTTCCCGAGGAACTTCCACATTGCTTTCCATAGTGGCTAGACTAACTTACATTTATTTCCACTAAGAAAACATAAAGGTTCCTTTTCTTCTGCATTCCTGCCAGCAATTTTGGTTGTTTATTGTCTCAGAGTTGGGAAAGATGGAATCTCAGTGTAGTTTTAATTTTGATTCTCAAGGTCAATAAGATACACATTTTCATGTATCTTCCCTCATTTATTTATTTATTTATTATTTTTTGAGACAGGGTTTCTCCGTAGCTTTTTTGGTTCCTGTCCTGGAACTAGCTCTTCTAGACCAGGATGGCCTCGATCTCACAGAGATCGCCTGCCTCTGCCTCCCAAGTGCTGGGATTAAAGGCGTGCGTCACCACCGCCTGGCTCTTCCCCCTTTTATTAAACATAGATTCTTTTCTCATACAGTATAATCCAAATACAGTTTTTCTTCCATATATGTCTCCCAGCTCATCCCCACATCTGGGTCCTCTCCCTTCTGCCTCTCATTAGAAAAGAACAGGCTTCTAAGAGGTAACAACCAAACATAACAAACTATAATCAGATGAAGTTAAAATCATATCCAAGTTGGACAAGACAAGCCAACAGAAGGAAGAGCCCCCATATGAGGCACAAGAATCAGAGACCGACTCATTCACAGCCTCAGGAGTCCCATAAAAACACTAAACTGGAAGAGAGAGCACATGTGCAGAGGAGCCGGTGCAGACCCCTGTAGGCCCTGTGTTTGCTGCTTCAGTTTCTGTGAGTTTGTGCTCAGTTGTTTTATGAGTTTGTGCTGAGTTGTTTTAGGTCCCCCCTTCTCCTGGTGTCCTCCATTCCCTCTGCCTCTTACTTTCTGTCTTTCTGCCTCCTCTTCCGTGGGGTTCCCTAGGCTCGGAGGGGAGGATTTGAAGGAGATATATCTCATGTAGAGCAGTGTGTTTCAAGTTCTCTCTCTTGGAGGTGATGTTAAAAGGAAATCCCACACTAGCTCAGAATTAAGTATAATAAAGGGTTGTTTATTTAGGGGTAGACTCACAGATCACAATCCTCTGCTCTAACGGGGAACAGGAACCGAATCCAGCAGCCAGAAGAATGAGGGAATGAGCACTTTACGTCGGCATTTATAATATAAGAGGCCATGCCCAATTGGGCGGGTAACTTAAAGGATTTCCTACAGCACACTCTCTCTCTCTCTCTGTCTATGGGTCTCTCTGTTCCCTTCTGCAGCAGGAGGAAGCCTTTCTGATGATGGCTGACAAGGCACCGATCTATGAATACAGGAGAATGTTATTAGGGGCCATTTTATTGTTACCTTCTTATTTTAGACCAGAAGTATTTGGTTTTATACTAGGTTCTCTGGGCTGTCTGGACTCTGGTTCTTAGTCACCCAAGCAATGTTAGATATGGGCTCCACCTCATGGGGTTTGTTTCTTCTAAAAGGTTTGTGCCACAATTGCCCTAGCATATTTTAGAGGCAGGACAGATTGCAGGTCAGTGGTTTTATTGTTGGGCTGCTGTTTGGGAGCCTGCAGAGTATCTTTCCGTGTCATTGGCAATGGCACATGGGCGTGAAGGTTCTATGTAGGCGCCAACTTGATCTCTCCATGAGCTGTGTGGCTGTTGTCAGCAACGGGACCTTACTGTCAGTCATACTTGGCCCTAGAGGCCCTAGAGGGTAAGGGAGATCCTGGATGACCTGAGAGGTTAAGGTCTGAAACTGGGGATGGTGTGACAGAGAGGTGGGATCAATATGTCTAAAAGGGGTGATTTTAGGGATGCAAGGACCTTGAGGAGCTTTGAACCATGTCTACTGTGTCTATATCCAGGGGTTGAGAGCTTCTAAGGCGTGTGTACTCTCTCTATTTCGATCATTCCTGATGGGCAGCTGTGATAAATGCTGCCATAAAGTTTACCAATGACCTTCATCTCCCACCTGGAATGCCATGGGTTCTTAATATGATACAAAAGATTCCCAAACCTGCATAAAAGGTAGAATGCCTTCCTGAATATGTACCATGCCTTCACCCTACCAATAAGGACAGCCTCCAGAAGCCTTTGGCCAGCATCCAGTTTGATCACAAAGGAAGCCTCCTGCCAGTGGGCAGTCTTCAGATCCTGCCAAGCAAGGGGTCAGACTGAACTGTTGTGTACAGATTTCCTAAACCTTTGGGATCTTAACATAACAATAGCATCGTGGAGAAAGAAACCGGAAACCATTTTCACAACCTCAGGTTACTGTCTCACACTTTCACAGCTTGCGTTTGGAACACTCGCTTTTACCCTTTCCTACACCCTCAGAACTCACTTAAGCCTTCACATTCTCAGCCTTTGTAACACTTCTTGTACTGTCAGAACCTCGGGTATAACCATCTAAGTATTTACCAGAGACATGAGTAATATTATTGAGAGCAGTCCTTGCCAAGCAAATTCCTTTAAATCCGTGGTTCTCAACCTTCTTAATGCTACAATACTTTAATACAGTTCCTCATGTTGTGGTGACCCCGACCATAAAATTATTTTATTGCCACTATAACTAGAATTTTGCTAGTGTTATGAATCATAATGTAAAGATCTGATATGTAGCCCTAAAGAAGTCGCGACCCACAGGTTGAGAACCTCTGCTTTATATCCTTTTGTTTTGCTCTCCTTTCTCTCTGTCACAGTTAGATGGCACACCTGACACAGGACAGAGATTTGGGGGGACACCTTTAAGCAAACATGCTTGGGTTTAGAGGAGGGGGAGTCATTACTCCAGAGCCAGCGTTCCAACAAAACAGAACAGCGTAAAACAACTTGAATATTATCCACATTCAAAAGACATTCAAATCCCTGCTAAACTGAATCTAGTGACCAGAAAGCCCAAAGATAAATTCTGAGCACTTGAGCACTGGCCATCAAAGCCACCATGGCCAGTGACATTAGCAGTGGTGGCTGGTGCCTGGCAGTAGCAGAGAACGCAACAACAAAACCAATGAACATAGAACACAGAAGCTCACACACTCAAAGGAGACCAGTCCAAACCCAAACATGTGATGTCCCCTGGCTTTCACATGTTCTACCTAGTATGATCCATTTCTGTCTTGGCTCCCTGCCAGTGGCCAGCCCCGGAGGCTGACAGGTTCCAGAGAGGAGGAAGGAGGAGACCATGGAAGACTGAGCCAAGCCATTGGTGGCTGGGAGAATCTTGCAGCCTGAGTAGCAGCCAGGGTGCTCCTTTATTTATACAGAATTCAGTAAGCAGGGATAGACTCCTATCATCTCTGTTCCCAGACGTGTTTAACTTCCTCTTGTATATCTTTTAGTCATCACTGAATAACACAGCAGAGTTACCTTTTAGAGTCATTTTTCCTTATCAACCCCATAACTCAACTTCTAGGCAGCTCTTGCAGTTTCAAGTTTGCTAGAAAGGAAATCTCCAACCCAGCCCAGGCAGATTTCCATGTCCTAAGCAGTGTATTGTTAACCCTTTATAGTCAGAGTGCCCAAGAAAAATCTTCAGGCCAAAGCTGCTGCGGTTATCATTCAATTTCTGGCATAATACAATGTTTACATTTTATATCATTAAGGAATTTATTTACATTTATCTAATCCTGGCATTCTTTGGCTCCTTGGTCACATGACAGCACAGTGGCTTTGCAGGAGCTAACTTTTCTAAGAAAGGGAGGTCCTGACACGTCATTCTTTTATCAGTTTTTCACCCCGTTTTTTGCCCATCAACATAAGCCCCTGTATGGCGCGGAGTGAACTCCAGCCAATCTAAATTTGCTGTCGATATGCCATGCAATCGCCCGAGCATAGAGGAGAAAGAGGCTTATACTTTGTTCTGATGATCTTGTTCCTGAGTGAGTTCAGGGGCAGATGTTTCAAGAATAGCTCAGAGCATCATAAAGGGGCCTCTGGCTTCTTTATGTGAGTCACAACTGCCAAGGCACGAGGAAGACTTTCAAGTAGATAAGAATATCTCCCTAAAACCAGGAGGGGAACTATGTTCAGGACTTTCCTGGGGAAGTTTAGAAGCTGTACTCCTGGGAGGATGCATAAATGATTCATAAGAATTTTTTATCAACCCAATATCCTCAAGTCATACATGTATTAAAAACCTACCAAGTAGGTAACATGCAAGATTCAAAACCAAAAGTAGCATGGTAGCCAGGAAGAATGCACTTTGCTGCAACTGTGCATTCATCCAACTTCTAAACACACTGTGCCTCTAGGCAGGCTTCAGAATTGTCTTAAAGTTCTACATCCTCAGTGCAGCCTGTCAGTATTGTATAGGAAGCTCCTGAACGGCGCTTCCGATTGAGTAGGCACGCCAGAGCTGCTCACTGGATGAGTGAACGCATGGACCACAAGCTCGGGTGTTCAGGGACTCCAGTTTCCCTCTGCCTCAAAAGAGATGGCTTTTCACTCAAAGAGATCTTTTCCACTGTTCTGCTTATTGAGAACAACAACAACAAAAATAGCAAGAATCAAGTTGATTTAAAGTTTGGTTTCCAATGAAGACTCCCAGGAGTGCTCCTTCTTTAACATCTAGGGTCCTCAGTGTCCATCCTTCCTCCCAAGTATCCGATATGGTGCTCTGAGATGCCCCTCATAGATTAGATAATAATTTCCCTAAAGATTTCAATTCTGTCTCTCCCTTCTATGTTACCCCTTTTAGGCATTTATGGCTGAAATGCAGGTGGTGGCTGAAATTCTTCAGTACCTGGTCCAGAGACCTGAGGATTTCCTGGAGAACATTGAAAATACAGTGAAACTGTATAAGGACATCCTTCTTAGTGCTTTAGAAGTAAGAACGAGACCTTGCTAATGTGGGAATGTTGATGCTTGTGCTTTGTCTGTGGCTAAATGATTTTCAAGTATCTTTTCCTTTTTTAAAAAAAGATGTACTTATGAGAGAGAGACAGAGAGAGAGACAGAGAGAGAGACAGAGAGAGAGACAGAGAGAGAGAGAGAGAGAGAGAGAGAGAGAGACTGCATGCGTGTTTATAGTCCACATGTTTTCCAGAGCCTGTGAGGGCCGGAAGAGGGTACAGGAACCTGGGCTGGAGTTGCAGGTAGTTGTGAGCCGCTGCGTGGGCAATGGGAACTGAACTCAGGTCCTCCGCGAGAGCAGCAGTACTCTGAACCCCTGAGCCATCTCGCCAGCCCCCAAGTCTCTTTTTCTCCCAGGCATGGTAATTTTACTCCTACAAAGCACCTCTGTGCTTCTCGGGATACATTAAATACGTTTTTCCAAAGTCACTAGGCTGTTTGCAGAGATGGGAGTATGAATGTGGACCTCACCAGCAAGACGAAAAGTTAAAACAGATCCCCCTCTTCAACTCAGTTTGTCAGGCTGCAAAAGCTAAAATAGACAGTGATGGCGGGAACGAATGGACATTCCCTTTCTGTAACGGCAGGAACGAATGGACATTCCCTTTCTGTAACGGCAGGAACGAATAGACATTCCCTTTCTGTAACGGCAGGAACGAATGGACATTCCCTTTCTGTGATGGGGGAACGAATGGACATTCTCTTTCTGTGATGGGGGAACGAATGGACTTTCTCTTTCTGTGATGTCAAGAACAAATGGACATTCCCTTTCTGTAACGGCAGGAACGAATGGACATTCCCTTTCTGTGATGGGGGAACGAATGGACATTCCCTTTCTGTGATGGGGGAACGAATGGACATTCCCTTTCTGTGATGGGGGAACGAATGGACATTCTCTTTCTGTGATGGGGGAACGAATGGACTTTCTCTTTCTGTGATGTCAAGAACAAATGGACATTCTCTTTCTGTGATGGGGGAACGAATGGACTTTCTCTTTCTGTGATGTCAAGAATGAATGGACATTCTCTTTCTGTGATGGGGAAACGAATGGACATTCTCTTTTTGTGATGTCAAGAACGAATGGACGTTTTCTTTCTGTGATGCAGGGAACGAATGGGACATTCTCTTTCTGTGCTTGTGAGACTTTTGAATTATACAGTCTTTCAGAAAACCAATAAACAATGCCAGCTAACATTAAATTCTTTTAGAAATCTCTCCTTTTTCAGTGTCTGAGGCTATAGTGAAAAGACACTTAGCAGGTGGTGTGTAGTATTTATGTCAATGAGGAGGGCACGGAATAAAAAGGATGAAGAGTACGGTTGTTGTAAGTCCAATTACTTTGATAATATGTTTTTAATTTTAAAAGTAAGCAGAAGCGATTAGCAAGCTATTATAATCTACTTAATGTGGAATAGCAGAGGAGTGTTGAGTGAGAGCGGTAGCCATGCTATGGAATCCTGTACAACCGTGAAGATGTGATGTGGGCACGATCTTGTAAATATATAGGGGAGTATTAGTTATAATGTTTAGTGGGAAAGTAGGCTCCAGAGTTTCATATACATTGCGATCTCAAATATGCAGAAAATGTTTTTTACAGATTAAAAGAAGGATGGGAATTAGTAATAGCAATAGTTTCCTTTCAGTGCCTACATTAAAGATGTTTTTCTGGTCGGGCAGTGGTGGCACATGCCTTTAATGCCAGCACTTGGGAGGCAGAGGCAGGCAGATCTCTGTGAGTTCGAGGCCAGCCTGGTCTACAAGAGCTAGTTCCAGGATAGGTTTGAAAACAACAAAAAAAAAAGATGTTTTTCTTTGTAATCTTCTGGTCTATTTAAAAACGTGTGCTCTACAATAGTAAAAGGTGCAGCATGCTGCTTAGATGATCCTATTATCTAGATGAAGGAAGTACATGATTTAAAGTTAATCAGCTTTCTCTGTGGCATCAAAAATAGCAAAGCTGCAGTTATACGCTGCAAAATGCCCCCAAATCCTTTTGTGTTGGGAAAGACTTTTAAACTTTGGGAAGCAGAAAATGAGAGGGGAGGACAGCAGCAGTGGTCGAGCAGGCGTCTAGTCTGCAGATCCTCAGCACCTCAAGCACAATTCATGCTAAAAACAGAGCAAGGTATCTCTGTGCTTGCAAAAGATCTGTTCAGTGCTGAAAATGACACGCTTTATAACCAGCACAAAGTGAACTCATTAGCTCTTAGATTTCCTATTCGCTATTAAGATTTTCATCTGGCATTCAGCTTCCCCCATAATCCTGAGTTATCAGGTTTCTGTTTGGTTTCTCCAGGAGCTAATGGCTGAGCACAATCCCCAGTATCTCATTGAGCTGGATGGGAATAAGTCCCCCGAGGAACACTTCATGGTGAGTGCGGGTGGGGGGGAGCTCTCAACACAGGTGTCTTGCAGTCGGACGATTCCCAAATCTTCCAGAACTGTACTTGTTTTGTTCTAAACTCTACTGAGAGTTTAGAACAGTTAATCTTTTCATCTTGACACTTTAAAATGCCATATTGCATTTATTCATTTGTTCATGTTTAAGGCAAAACTATATTTGAATTTAAAATTTCTCTGTGACCACAGTGTCTTCTCCAGGAAGAGAAAAAGCAAATGGCAGATGGAAGTGGGGGATGGGAGACTGAACATTAGTAGTCATTAAGGGTGTGCAACTGAACACCGAGATGGATGCCACTTCATGCACACTATGATGGCCAGAGATTTTTGTTATGAAATTCTAGGTCTAATACCTAGCACCATGTATTAATGAATAACACAAAACACAATAACTATTTTCTAAATCTCCTAAGTTTCTGGCATAATGATGAGCTCTAGGAATGCATATGGGAAGGAAGTTGATGAATCCATGAACGACTCCCATTATATAGGATCCAGTATATTGAGGAAAACACATATACAAGTGGTAGTTTGTGTTATAGTTAGAGACGTATCATTCTAGATAAGATAAGGTCATATTTAACTAGAATGTCCTAGTCCAATAAGGACAGCCTCAGTCAGAGAGGCAGAAGGTAACAGTATGGCAACAGAGGGAGAGGGTAGAGACCAGAGTCATGAATACAGAAGATAAGAAACACCAAAGAGCTGGGGCTGGGGCTGGGGCTGGCGCTCGGTAGGTTCCGAGCATGTCTAGCATGGGTGAAGACCCAGCTTCCATCTCCTGCACTGCACAAAGCAGATGTTATGGCATGTACTCTAGCCCCAGCATGTGGGAGGCAGAGACAGGCAGTTCAGAATTACAAAAACATCCTCAACCACATGTCAAATTCAAGCACAGCCTGAGATACATAAAATGTTGACTCAAAAGAGAAAAATATTTTTTAAAATTTTTTAATAATATCAAAGATCACTAGCAATGCATAGAAACTAGGAAAGGGATGTATGAACTTGTCTTGGCTGGACCCCAACAGATGTCATCCCAGTGTGTGGCTTGCGACAATATTCAAATATCTGTTCTTTATATTTAGACAGTCATAGAACGGCTGAAATACCTGAATCTAAAGAGAGCCGCCATTATCACCAAGCTGCAGAGTACAGAAGAAGAAATGAATGACATAATAGACACGGTGAGCTCAACTGGCTGATTTAGAAACACGCCTGTTCTGTGTTATCTGTGTCCTTAGCCCGTACCTCTCCAATTTAGAAACACGCCTGTTCTGTGTTATCTGTGTCCGTAGCCCGTACCTCTCCAATTTAGAAACATGCCTGTTCTGTGTTATCTGTGTCCTTAGCCCGTACCTCTCCAATTTAGAAACACGCCTGTTCTGTGTTATCTGTGTCCTTAGCCCGTACCTCTCCAATTTAGAAACACGCCTGTTCTGTGTTATCTGTGTCCGTAGCCCGTACCTCTCCAATTTAGAAACATGCCTGTTCTGTGTTATCTGTGTCCGTAGCCCATACCTCTCCAATTTAGAAACACGCCTATTCTGTGTTATCTGTGTCCGTAGCCCGTACCTCTCCAATTTAGAAACATGCCTGTTCTGTGTTATCTGTGTCCGTAGCCCATACCTCTCCAATTTAGAAACACGCCTATTCTGTGTTATCTGTGTCCTTAGCCCATACCTCTCCAATTTAGAAACATGCCTGTTCTGTGTTATCTGTGTCCTTAGCCCATACCTCTCCAATTTAGAAACACGCCTATTCTGTGTTATCTGTGTCCTTAGCCCGTACCTCTCCAATTTAGAAACACGCCTATTCTGTGTTATCTGTGTCCTTAGCCCGTACCTCTCCAATTTAGAAACACGCCTGTTCTGTGTTATCTGTGTCCTTAGCCCATACCTCTCCAATTTAGAAACACGCCTATTCTGTGTTATCTGTGTCCTTAGCCCATACCTCTCCAATTTAGAAACATGCCTGTTCTGTGTTATCTGTGTCCTTAGCCCGTACCTCTTAAAATCTTAAGGTCTAAGAGGATAGCTCTCCATAAAGATATCTTCTTCCAGGGAGAAACTATGATCTCAACACAGTACTCCTTTGTTTTGTTTTGTTTCGAGACGGGGTTTCTCTGTAGCTTTGGAGCCTGTTCTGGAACTTGCTCTGTAATCCAGACTGACCTTGGACATGAACTTGAGAACATAAAAAGGAGCCAGAGAAATAACTCAGTGGTCAAGAGCAATAGCTGCTCTTCCAGGTGACCTGATCTCAATGCCTAGCACACACAGGGGGTTTACAGCCATTAGTAGCTCCAACTCTGGCGTCTTTAGGCATCTGCGCTCGCATACACAAACCCATATGTGTGCACACATGCCTACACATCTTTAAAATTAAAATATGTCCCGTATTACTGATGGTGGGGAACTGGCAGTCCAAAGCCTAGTGATATCCCGTCTCACATGAAGAAGAACATTACGTAACGTGTTAGCGAGCGTGGGAGATCATGGAACTCTTTGGCATTGTTCATTGGGATATTGAAGGAGCTCAGATTAGGGTTCAAAGGGGTCAATGAGAATTAACAGGAACTAAGGAGTTTATTACAAGAATTATTAGTGCCATAGACAGACAGACAGACAGACAGATAGAGAACGGTATAGTCGGAACTCTGAGGGAAGTGCAGGCTCCATTGCCAGAGATAGCATGGTGGGCTCTGGAGAGAGTAAACCAGGGCTTAGGGGCAAAAGCAGGAAGGAGTCTCTTCTTAGATCTTCCTGAGAATGGGGGAGGTCTCAGAGTGCACACTGATAGCCGGGCTCTCGATTCCTAGGAAGGAGGCAGGGAAAAGGTGCAGAGAGCTGGATGTGCGACCAAATATCCCTTTGACATAAACTCAGTTCCAAGTGGGAGACCTTGGTACCTGGAAGTCTATTAGGTGGAGAGGTAAAGCCAACATCTCGGTGGGGTGCCTGCGGGACTATGCAGGGGGAGGCAGCTGCGGTGCCGGGCCTGAGCAGGAGGTGCACTCTAGCGCAGTCTTATGTAGTACTACAGATACAAAATGGTCCCCTGCTTCTTAAAACAGCTGAGTGGTTCCTCAGAAAAGGATCCAGTAATTTACTCTTAGACAGTTTCTCCGAGCAGGAATGCAGAGTCAGGAAAGTTATTGTCAAATCGCCAGAAGGTGGAACCCTGAAGCATCCATCAGTGAGGGAGTGGTTGAGAAAAGATCTATGAACACAGAGTGGAATATTGTCTGGCCCTGAAAAGCTTCGAGCCAAGTGTGACGGTGCATGTCTGTAATCCCAGCACTTGGGAGGCAGAGGCAAGCAAAAGTCTGTAAAGTCAAGGCCAGCCTGGTCTCAAGAGCAAGTTCAGCCAGGGCTATATAGTGAGACAGTCTTAAAGAGTTTGAGACCAGCGTGGTCTATGGAATGAGTTCCAAGACAGCCAGGGCTGCACAGAGAAATCTTGTCTTGAAAAAACAACAAATAACAACAACAAAAACAAAATCCAGAAGCAGAAACAAAACAATCAACCAAACAACAACAGAAAACAGCTTAGACCAGGATTCATTCATTAACTATAGAGTCTGGCACATCTTAAAAGTTGCTCAGTTGGGTATTTTCAGATACTGATTAGATGTAGATCTGTAGATGACATTTATTACCACATGAGAGAAAATTGTAGTGTGAGCTGTAGGCTGCATTCCTGCTGCCCGGCTCCTGGCCGCCAGCTAGCTTATGCTCCAAAATAATTACACGGAGACTGTATTCATTTAAACACTGCTTGGCCCATTTCTATTAATGTGTGTAGCACCACCAGATGGTGACTTACCAGGAAGATTCTAGCCTACGTCCATCTTGGATCGGAGCTCCATCATGACTGCTCTGGAGAGGGGAGGCACGGCGTCTGAGCTCACTTCCCTTCTTCCCAGCATTCTGTTCTGTTTACTCCACCCACCTATGTTCTAACCTATCAGGCCAAGCAGTTTCTTTATTACTTAACCAATGAAATCAACAGATTGATATATGGCATTCCCACATCAGAAAATTATCTGTAAAATTCAAATAAGATTTTCTTAATGAAATGACAACTGGATGGGAGAGATAGCTAAAGTGATTAAGGCATTTATCACCAGACCTGGTAACCTGAGTTCAAACTCTGAAACCCGCGTGGTGGAAGGAGAGAACTGATAGCACTCTGTTCCCTATGCGCACGCGCGTGCGCACACACACACACACACACACACACACACACACACACACAGATTAAAAGAATTTAAAGCTAATCTTATTAAATAAACCTTGAATGAGTACAGAAACTAGAGCCAACATGTGTATTCTAAATTGTGCTTTAGTTAAGTACTAGCAAACAAATAGGAACTGTCCGGTCCCGCTGCTGTCAGCAGAGCCAAGGCTCACGTTCTGAGGTAGCATCTGTGCTTCGCAGGAAGATCTGTTCCGTACACTCTCATCGTATAAACTCATCGCGCCACGGTACAGATGGTGCCGCAGCAAGTGGGGGCGTTCTTGTCCCATGGCCTTGAAGGATGGGAACATTTATTCGGGATCAGCCGATTATTCTGTGAGGTTAGTAAGCTTTCTAGAGCCTACATTTTAAACCTGCCCACGATGCTTTCTGTCGTTTACTCTGACGGCGTATTTTAAGTTTTCTAGGTAAAATGTACTGCCTTTCTTCTGAAGAAACACTAAAATCATTTTTGCTGAATCCCCGTCCTTGCCTTCTACCACCTATGCCCATCCCGCCATGTAAAATCTTTATATTTGGGCCTGGCAGCTCAGGGAAAACAACGCTGTGCAACCTGATTGCAGAATACTTCAAAGGCAAGGTAACTATTTGTCCAGCCATTGTTTTAACTGTAGAGTTTTTGTTGAACCTGATACTTGTGCTGGGGTTGCTGTAGCAAAGGCATATTCCCACTGTCATGGGCTCTTCTATCTGCAATCCCGCCATGCTTCCGACAGCCCCATATCTCAGCCCCCATATCCTGGGTCATCTCCCCCTGGATCCGTCCTACTGCCCTCTGCCCCCAGTTTCAGGCCTATCTATATTCATTCTTGGTGATTCCGGTACCTGCAAATACTGTTCTCACAGCATCCTAGCCTGTTGGCTCTGTTCCCTCTCCTCTCCCGTGATCTTGTCTCTACTCTAAAATGTAAGGAAATTATACGTAGCCTAGCAGCAAGGCAGCTAAAAGCAGGCGGGTTTGGAATATAACTAAAGGTAAAGGCAAAAGATTTAATAAGGGTTGGAACCTAGAGAAGATCAGTGTGTGGAGAGCATTCCCTGTGACACCAAGCTTAGCAGAATGGCGGGGTGGTCAGGGAAATCAGGTGAGTTCTGAGAGCGTTCAACACGCAGCTGAGGGAAGGACAATGTTGTCTACTTGTTCTTAACTTTTTTATTATGAAATATGAAAAATGAACAGAAAAGAGAAACTAATAGAATTTTCATAAAAGTAAATCCCCATATTACTGACCACTCAGAGTAAATACAAAATATTCTCAGTGCCCACAAGTGTTCTTCATATTTCTTCCACGTTCAAGCCTCCACACACCCCACATGTCCCAACGAGGTAACTACAAGTAGCTAACTTCCACCCTCTTGTAGTTTTATGATGGAAGCATATATCCAGTGCCTTAGCTTAGTTTTGTGTGGTTTTTTTTTTTTTGGAACTTTATGAACCTACTTTATATCCTCTATGCCTGGCCTTCAGCGAATACTATGACTGTAAAAGTCACCCACGTTACTACTTGTAGCTAGAGTTCATTCATTTTGTTCTTGTTTTATTCTGTTGATTGAATATAGTTTGGAAACAATTGAATATTTGGAAAGAAAACTTGGGCTTATTTCAGATTAATGCGTTATGAGTAATTCTCATAAACATTCTTGTATGAGTCTCTTGCACACACGTGCATAGCCATGCTTTGGAAATCTGTCTAACAGGACTGTTGCTGGTACTTGAAACTATGCGTGTATGGTCTTTCAGTGTGTATAGACAATCCCAAACCAGCTCTGCTAACTTACACACCCGTGAGCTGACTGTAAGGCCTATTATTTCATCCCTACAACACTTGTTTGGGGGGATCTTCCTAATTTTAACCACTCGAGAGTGTCTGGTGATATCTTATTTACCTCATACTTCGGAAAGGTGGATATTTTCATGTTTATTGGCCATGCACACATTGGCTTTTAAAGTGGGTGTCCACCTATCTTGCCCATTTTAATGTACTTCTTATATTTTAGTAGTTTCTCGGGGTTCATGTTTGTGTATCCTTTTGTTGTATGAACAGTATGCATATTTCTGTCATTTTGTAGTGACTATTTCACTTTTTAGTGGCATATGTCCCCTTTTCATTTCCAGTTTTATTACTTTGACTCCTCCATCTTTCCTTTTCTTCCTCAGGCTAAGAGCTTTTTGACCTTGTTTATTTTTACAAAGAACCAAAATTTTATTTCATTGCTTCTTTATATTTTTCTTGTCGTCTCCATTTCATTTACCTTTTCCCTAGCCTTTGTTAGTACTTTTGGGATTGGCTTGGCGGTTTCCTAAAGTTGTGAGGTGCATCGTTATTTGTTTAAGAGTGATCTGATTTTTTTTTTATCTAAGCACTCACAGCTATAAGCTTCCCTCTTAGCCTTTGCTGTGTCCCCCCAAAGTACTAACTAATAAGTTGTGTTTTCATTTACATTTATATTCTAGGAATTTTTTTAATTTCCTCCCATCTTTTTTCAGTGACCCTGACCATTCAAGAGTATATTGTCTCAGGAGCTAGAGAGAGAGCTCTGTAGTTAAGAGTGTTTTCTGACCTTCTAGAGAATCAAGTTCAGTTGCCAGCATCGCATCAGGTGCCTCAGGATTGCCTGCGATTCCAGCTCTAGGGGATCAAGACCTTCTCTTGATCTTCATGGTCACTCACGTATATGTGTTGTACCCAGAGACACACAGATACATACACATAAATTAAAAATTCTAAAAAAAAAATTTAAAGGGTACTGTACAGTCTCCAAGTGTTTGTATACTTTTTGTGGTTTCTCTTGTTATTAGTTTCCAAGAAATTATTTAAACTCTTTTGTATTTGTTAAAACAGCTTTTGTGGAATAGTCTTTAACGTCTGTTAAAGCCATCTGGTCTACAGTGCAGATTAATTTTCAAGTTTCTTTGTTGACGTTTAGTCTGGATGATGGGTCAACTGAAGAGAGTAACGTGTAGAAGTCACCCACTAGTATTGCATCAGGACCCCCCATCTTTTTATGGAAGTTGGAGCCACCGAATTTGATTTATATATTTCCTATGTTGTGTCTTCTTAGTGTACTGCTCCATTTATTAATACATATTGACCACCCCTATTCTTTATGGATAGTTTTGAACTACTTTTATCAGAACAGCTGCGCCAGGTGTTTTGGTTTCCGCCTGCTTGGTAGCTCGGCTTCCTGACTTTTGCTCTCAGCTATGAGTGTCTTCGCTGGTGAGGTGGGTTGTTTTTGTTTGCTTGTTTTGTTTTTGTTTTGTCTTTTAGACAAGAGATGGTTTAAGTCAATTGGTTGCACTGGGATCCAGGCTTCTAGAATTAGGACATTTGAAATGTTTCTTGGTGTGGATATCTGGTCTCATCTTTTTTGGGTGGTGTTCTGCTCTGTGGTTGCTCTTGCCCCTTCTGGATCCCAGCCAATAGAGTGGCTGTGGAGTTCTTGATTCCCAGCCAAGCGCAGTGGCTGTGGGCTGGAAGAGAGCTGAGTCACGAAGGAGTGGGGACGGGCTAGAAGGAACGCCTGGACAGGTTGGGGTCCCTGGCAGAGAGCCAAGTCACAAAGGAATAGGAATGGGCTAGAAGAAAAAGCCTGGAACCATCCACAACAGAAAACCAGGGGGACCCTGGGTCCTCACCAAGAAGCTGTCTCATTTTTCTCCCCCATGTTGATGTTAAAATGTCATATTTTCTCGACCTCATCCTCCATTCCAAATATTCCGTGTCTTACTGTTCTAGACTATTAGATATACTTTTGACATGTGTATTCATTTTTACACTTGGTCATGGCCAAAAGGCTGAGAAGCGATTGTTGGTTCGTTTTTTAAAGTAAGATTCACTCAGTTTTCATTCCTAACGTTTTCTTTTTTCTTCAGAGGCTCAGGTTCTGCTGAATTTCTCCTCTTTGCTCCTGGCCTTTCCATCCTCCGTTCTGATGTCCTTGGTCACATAAGGACTTTCTCATCTGTGCCATCTGCTGTCCTTTCCAGTCCTCAGACTGATTTTCTTACCTCAATATTCTGATTGTCTGTACATTCTCTTAGGTTGCTGGCCATTCCTATAAACTTTTAAGTCTTGACAAAGTATTTTACTCATCTCAGTACTTTTGAACTTGGTATCTGGGTCCTTTAAAGGAGGTATGCTACATAAGGTACAAAAGACATACCATATTAATATCATCATTCAATTTTAAAGATTATTATTACATGAAGCAAAAGGGGAGTAGTTGAAAAGAGGGAGAGGTCAGAAGAGTGGGAGGGGACAGTAAAGAGTGATAGCCAAATATATAAGCCAAATACATATATATGCATATGTATATGCAACCTGAATATATAAATAATTTATATTTATTTATATTTTATACAAAAATATGACTGGTTCCTATGAATTACCTTAAAATTTGTGAAATTGAGGCTGGAGAGATGGCTCTGTGGTTAAGAGCACTGGCTGCTCTTCCAGAAAATCCAGGTTCAGTTCCCAGCACTCCACCATGGAGTACACAGGCATACATGAAGATAAAACACTTACACGTATAAGAACAAAATAAGGAGACCCTTGTGGCTCAGAGCACTTACTGCCTGTGCAGAGGACCCAAGTTTGATTCCCAGCACCCATGTTCCCAGCTTGGTGGTGTCCAAGCATCTATAACTCCAGTTTCTAGGGACAAAACATACACATAGTACATATATATGTGCATGTAGACAAAATACTCAATACACATGAAAATAAATATTTAAAAAAAAATCAAGACTAGGTGGCTGGAAAGATGGTTCAGTGAAGAACACTTTCTCTTCCAGAGGATCCAAATTCAGTTCCCAGCACCCACATCCCTTGTAACTCTAGCTCTGGGGACCCGAGCCCTCTCGCCTCTGCAGGCATCTGTACACATGTGCCCACACCCACATGCATATATGTAGTTAAAAATGATGAAAATACATTTTTAAAAATACAGATTTTTTTAAATCAGTGAATTTGATACATAATTTCAAAGATGCTATCTATTTTTGGAAAACAGATAAATAGGTAGATAGACAGACAAATAGACAGACAGATGGGAAATGTGTTTTATATTCACAGGACCTTGAGCGTACACTAACTATTGAATATTTCCACAGGTAGTTGACTACGCTAAGCTTGTTCAGCCACGTTTTGACGACGCCCGTGAAAAGCTGATTAAGGACACCATAATGGAGGCCACCACCACGGCTATCAAAACTGTGAGAGAGAAGCTGCTTAAGGAACAGCAAGTTAGGAAGCAAGGTGGATCCTGTTCCCGTTTCACAATCTGTGCGTCTCGGTGGACGGCCAAGCTTGGCTGGTGGGGGGTGGGACCGCTAGTTTATCCATCTTAGTGTCCTTGTCATCCACACTTTAGTCTCTCAGTGAATGGCTGAAGGAATGAGAAGAAACGGATTTGCAACCCAAAGCGTTAATTTCTGGAGCCTTAAGGGAAGGCATGTTTGAATGTGTCCTTCTTCAAGGGTCTACCTACTGTGCAGAGGCTGAGCAGTGCTTGTGACTTCATCCGCACTGGCAGTTAAAACAACCCTCACCCGACCCCTATCGTGTCTGCTGTTTAACACCGTATGCCAGCCTTGATATTGCTAAATCTTTCTATTTGGAAAACACTAAGTTCAGTGACATGGTAAACACAACTCTCCAATTGTACAGGTGACAGTTAAATGGCTCTAAAGCTAACACAGAAACTGCACACACAACACTTGACCCCCCCCCCTTCCCTTTCCAAAGCCCAGCTCCTGACCAGGTCACTCACTGCTGATTGTGATATTTTAGGGTAAACACAAAAGTGACCTTTACTTGATTGTTTTTCTTTAGGAAAATGAGAGTTCTAATTTCATGACTATTTTTGTAATTGATAGAGGGGTTTGGTAGAACTGAGATCTCTAATTGTTGTCTGCTTTTCTTACATACACATATGTGTACACATGCACATACATATACATCCATATATCCATCTGGCCTGGAACTACGTAGTCTAGGCTAATCTTGTGTTTAAATCTTCAGTTCTCCTCTGCCGTCTGTTGAGTGCTGGGATCACAAGTGTGATCCGTCATGCCTGTTGTAACAGAATAGCCTTGATTCCATACTACCTATACACTGTGTGGTATCTTCACATTTAAAGATCTGGATCTAAATTTTGAGATCAGCTCCAACAATTTTAGACTAGATTCGGTTGCCGCTGTTCAGTTTCCTAGAGCCTCGGGCAGCACAATTTTACATCACAAGACTTTTGCTTTCACTTCTGATATGCTTTTTCTGATGAAACATATATTATTACAAAAATGATGATACCTACTGTATTTTGAGCACTTACTACACAATAAAGTTGTGCTAGTTCCCTTGCATGTAAGACCTATATAATCTTCATAAATCTTTTACCTTAATTTCAGTGGATAAGGAAACTTAGCTTTAAAAAAAAAAGGCTGTGGAAGTTGCCGACGGATGAGAGCCAGCGAATCCCTAAGATTCACTTCACTGTGAAGTCTGGGGCTGGAATTGCAGGGGGCTGCAAGCCGTCTGACGCAGGTGCTGGAAAACCAAACTCATGTAATAGAAGGGCTTCAAGTGCTCTTAGCCCTTGAATGACCACTCCACTCCGCTAAGTATAATTTAAAGATCTCAAGTGTTTCTCCTTGAGAATGATTTTATCTTGTCAGCATCTAGCAAGACAACCTTAATGATTTGCATGCTTTGACCTGTTCATTTGGTCAACAACACTGTACTCCAACATCAAGTTATTTTTTAATTTCTAATATACATCTTACTTAGTCATGGTATATTAAAACTATTTAAAATTTTGTTTATTGACACTCTTTTCTCAACATCCAGAGTGTAACTAGTTTATAGCAATCTTTTTTGGTTTTATGGAAGATTTTGTTATGAAACGTATTATGGCATATTTCATTTTTGTGGTTTATTTGTTTGGCTTTCTGTATAAACTTGGAGGTTTTCTGGCATTTCTTGTTTTGAAGTCACTCAATAAGAAATTAACCTCTTTTTCCTGATGGTGTTGGATTTTCACTAAACAAGGACTTTTTTATTGATTTTATTGAGCTCTCCATTTTTCTCTGCTCTCCTCCCTTTCCTCTCCTCCTCCCCTTCAACCCTCTCCCATGGTCCCTCTGCTTCCTATTTACTCAGGAGATCTTGTCTTTTTCTACTTCCCATGTACATTAGATCTATGTATGTCTTTCTTAGGGTCCTCATTGATGTCTAGGTTCTCTGGGATTGTGATTTGTAGGCTGGTTTTCTTTGCTTTATGTTTAAAAACCACTTATGAATGAGCACATATGATAATGTGAGTCTGGGTTACCTCACTCAATATAATGTTTTCTAGATCCATCAATTTACCTGCAAATTTTAAGATGTCGTTATTTTTTCTGCTGTGTAGTACTCCATTGTGTAAATGTACCACATTTTCCTTATCCATTCTTCAGTCAAGGGCATTTAAGTTGTTTCCAGGTTCTGGCTATGACTAACAATGCTGCTATGAACATAGTTGAGCACATATCCTTGTGGTATGATTGAGCATCCTTTGGATATATACCCAAAAGTGGTATTATTGGATCTTGAGGAAGGTTGTTTCCTAATTTTCTGAGAAATCACCATACTGATATCCAAAGGGGCTGTACCAGCTTGCACTCTCACCAACAATGCAGAAGTGCTCCCTTTACCCCACAACTTCTCCAGCATAAGTTGTCATCAGTGTTTTTTTTTTTTTAATCTTGGCCATTCTTACAGGTTTAAGATGGAATCTCAGTGTTGTTTTGATTTGCATTTCTCTGATGACCAAGAATGTTGAGCTTTTCCTTAAGTGTCTTTCAGCCATTTTAGATTTCTCTGTTGAGAGTTCTCTGTTTAGATCTATACTCCATTTTTTATTGGATTATCTGTTCTTTTGATGGCCAATTTCTTGAGTTCTTTGTATATTTTGGAGATCAGACCTCCATCTGATGTGGGGTTGGTGAAGGTCTTTTCCCATTCTGTATGCTGTCATTTTGTCTTGCTGACCATGTCCTTTGCTTTACAGAAGCTTTTCAGTTTCAGAAGGTCCCATTTATTAATCATTTCTCTCAGTGTCTGTGCTACTGTGCTACTGGGGTTATATTTAGGAAGTGGTCTCCTGTGCCAATACATTCAAGTGTACTTCCCACTTTCTCTTCCATAAGGTTCAGTGTAACTGGCTTTAATTTATGTTGAGGTCTTTGATCCATTTGGACTTGATTTTTGTGCATGGAGGTAGATATGGGTCTATTTTCATTCTTCTACATGTTGATATCCAGTTATGCCAGCACCATTTAAACCATTTAAACAAGAACCTCTTGACTATTTATTGTGTCTTTCTTTTTTCTGGGTAGACGACAAGCGGGTGAAAGCATCCATCATCCTTCCTAGAACTTTTCAGAAGAGCCCAAACTGACATGGCATGGCACCCTAATGTCCATCTAGATGATTGTCTTAGTTAGTTAGGGTTCATTTGCTGTGAAGAGACACCATGACCATGTCTACTCTTATAAAAGAAGCATTCGATTGCGGTGGCTCACTTATAGTTTCAGAGGCTCAGTTAATCATCATCATGGTGGGGGCACGGTGGTGTGCAGACAGACATGGTGATACCGCAGCTATGCTGGTGTGCAGGCAGACATGGTGATACCGCAGCTATGCTGGTGTGCAGACAGACATGGTGATACTGCAGCTATGCTGGTGTGCAGGCAGACGTGATACCGCAGCTATGCTGGTGTGCAGACAGACATGGTGATACTGCAGCTATGGTGATGTGCAGGCAGACATGGTGATACTGCAGCTATGCTGGTGTGCAGGCAGACATGGTGATACCGCAGCTGAGACTGCTACGTCTTGCAGGAAACAGGAAGTGAACCGACTCACTGGGTAGTATTCTGAGCATAAGAAACCTCAAAGCCACCACACAGTGACACACTTCCTCTAAAAAGCCACACTCACTCCAACAAAGCCACACATCCTAATGTTGTCACTCCCTATGAGATTATGGGGGCCAAATTCATTGGAACTATGATCTACAATGAATTTGTAGGCTTAGTATATAACTTTCAAAATGCAAAATCCAAATGTAAAGAATACTCATGACCACTTAACAGTCGAAGGAGGGAAGTTGTTAGCCCAGAATTCATTAATTTCGTCAACAAACACTGAAGTACTTTCTTTGCATTAAACAAACACTATGAAGATTCCATTCTCTTGGTGCTTACATTTAAGTCAAGAATGGAGAGAAAAAATAAAAGGAAGGGAGGGAGGAAGGAAAGAATAAATTAGTGGGGGGTGGAATGGGAAACATGTAACAGCAATGGAGCCAAGAGTAATGGGAGCAGGGTGCTGTCCAGGGTGCTGTCCTGCTAACTGCTCCAAGCAAAGACACCCGATTGAAACTTAAACCGCAAAGGCAGCCAGCCGGGCGTTTGCTACAGTCTGTGGTCACTCCTTTCACCTGAGATCATGGGAATGAAATACAAGTTCTGGAGCTTTTCATACATTGCCTTTCCTGCTGGAGCGTGTGAGTGTAGCTATTCTCCTCTATGCTGTGATCTTAAAAACCCTTTCAAGTCTCACTGACTTCTAAGTCTGGCAATCAAGTTAACCGTAACACTTCCAGTGCAGGAATCTAACCCCACATCCATCCAAGTTAAATTTGTCAAGCCGGAATAGTGTGAGTTTTGTAATCACAGCATTTGTATAATGAGACAGAGGTTAACCACCAGCAGGGAGCAGACTTCCTGTGTCTGCACCTGTGTTTGCACCCAATACCTGGAATTCAATGATCTTCATTTGACCTAGGAAAATAGGAGACAAGCCAAGTGGCTAACATACCCACAGCCCTTAAACAACAGTCAGAACCGAAACTGCGTCTAACTTCAGCAGTGCATTCTAACCACTCTGCCTGCCTACCTGTCTCCTTCCACTTCCTTTAACACAGCCATTTTTTCTTTCAGAGGAGAGGACCTTGAGGGAACTGCAAATTCAGTATGCAAAAAAGGAATACGATGACTTCACGGATGACAAGATATTTAAAAGCTCTGACGACTTGCAGTCTTTGGTGGGTGACGAAGGTATAAACTCATGGCCTGATACTGTCAGTGATGGGATCCATCGTACTGTGTGTAGATGAGCCAATAAAGTGTCTTCTTTTGCCGCAGCAACTGCTCATGACTCCCAGAAACTCAGCTCCTTAGACAGTGCCGATGAAGACAAAACTAGGTCCGAGAAATCCCTTGCTGCAGACACGGATAAAGATGGTAAGGACGTGAGCTCCCGAGAAAATGTCTATGCATCTCAGTCCATTTGTTTTTTATTTGGTCATCATACGGGAGCTCAAAATTAATGCATGCAAAGTTAAAAACTTCAGCAGGAATAAAAGGCAGGCTTCACTTTTGCAGATTCCAACCAAACAGCTGCAGAACAAAATAGATTTATTACAATGAAGGTGAGAGAGAGAAAATGGAAAGTTACATATATGCAGAACCCCAAGAAAGATTGAGGTCATACAGTCATTATCAAATGATTATAAATTCCTTCTTGAAAGCTCTATACTAACTTTGATATAGTGTAACCAGTATAACATAAACCCATAATTATAGTTGTGACATTTCATCATTATTGATTTGCTATTTAACCTTTTGACCTTGTTCTGTTCATATGTGAAAATTCTGACAGCATATAGAAAGACCTGATACAACATTATGAATTCTGTCTACTACGTCGTCACACAATAACCATAAAGTCAACTGTTCCTCTGCTTTTGGACAATAGTGGATCCTGCAGTTAGGTTTCTTTATTGGGAATTATTTTAGCCCTTATTTTAAAGAATTGCATAATTTTTATGACTAGATCATGGCTTAGCTGTTAAATATTAGTGTGTCTTATTTTATGAATGTGTGTGTGTGTTTATCAACCATATGCATGCATGAACCCACAGGGATCAGAAGAGGGCACAGAGCCACTGTAACTGGAGTTACAGGCAGTTAGTCACCGTATGGGTGAGGGAACCAAACCCACGTCCTCTGCAAGAGCAGTAAGCACTCTTACCCTCTGAGCCATCTCTCCAGCCCCAAGCTAGTTCTTTATATTATAAATTTGTGTTAATTTTTTGCTCCCATAAACAATATTTTAATGCATTTTAATATAAATTTTAGCTGGATATTCTTATTAGTAGAACTACTATGTCAATGAATATGAAGCTACAGAAAAAAATGTTTTGCATAAAAGTTGTTCCAGATTATCCAGTAATCTACATACATATATATATATATATGTCATTGCTTGTTCATTATTTTTTTGCTTTTATTTCTTTTTACATTGGTGATTATTTTTATTTTTCATCATATTTTCCAAATTGTCTCTTCAAAAATATCTTATGCTAGTCTCTTATTTTTCAGGGTTTTTATTTTTCAAAATTGAGTAGTTTGTCTTCTAAATCATCTTGCTATTGATGAATTAATGGAGGCATTTTTCATCATCAACCAATTGTTTTTCTATTATTATTTATGCTTTTACTTTTAGGATTTAAAAAGTTTTGCTCTGGCACTCTGGTTTTATAAGAGTTTTTTGTTAGGTTAACTTTTTGTTGTTGTTGTTCAATCTTTTTGTATTTGGTTTTAAGGCACAGCAATAATTTGATGAATACACAGTTCATAATGTTTGTTTCCTCCTACTGTTTCAAACATGCCTGCTTTTCCTGGTTTTTATTTTGAACTAGTAAGAATGGACCAGACACTGTTAGAAACTTGTATGCGTCACCCTCTTTACACGCACACATACACACACACACACACACACACACAAGCACGCATGTGAACGTGTGTACTCTTCACAGTGGGACACCATATGCCCACATGTAACCAAGTAGCTGCTGGGAGCCCACCTCTGATGCTGCTAAGCTCCCACAGCACCCTACAGTCCCTCTCCCAGACTGCCCTGCCCCTTTGTGCACCAAGCAGTCCAGCTTAGCAGCAGGCACCAGGGCGTCTACCCACAGTGGTTGCTGATGTTGACAACCTCCCCTTCCTGAAGCCAACTGTGAGGCCAACTGCAAGGCCATGGCCTCTGGACCTCAAGATTGTTGCTCAGAAAAGGTATTTTAATTTTTTTTTTAAATTTAGATTCACAGGCAATATATAAAACTAAAATCCTAGTTTGTTACAGGTTGTTATTTTTAATTTTTTTTCTGTTGACAGGTATGTTTGGCTATTTGAATGTTATGACTCTTATCTGAATTATGCCCATACCAAACCTTTTCAGAATCCAAGCCTGTGTAATTTAGTGCTCAGCACAAGTTCTTAGCAATGTTTTATCCGCAGATGAAGAAGAAAGCAGCGGCACACCCACAACTAACAGGAGGTCCTGAGACCTTCATCGCGTAGAGAAGTAGGCGCTCTGGCAGGCGTGGGAGAGGGCTGAGGTCAACAGGGGATCACGTTGTTGCCCAATGGGGTCAACGGGATTGCGTGCCCAGAGCTTAAACAGATGCAGACTCAGCCCCTGGCACAGGACCACCCTAGCTCTGGGAAATGATGAAGGCCCAAGATGAGGAACTGTCCGCTTTCTTGATTGGACCTCCTCAGAGTTCCACTGTGTCCCATGATGCTGTTGAGGGCCATGTGTGGGCCAGGGGTCCTGATGTAGCCGGGGTCTGAGTTGATATCTGAGGACCATGTCATCACTTAACAACATACAAATGCGGATGGCCTGTGCTGTGTCCTGAAGCCATGTTGGTGGCCATGGGCCATGCTGCCCCCAAAGCCCATTCCATGTGAGTGGCCTGCACTGCCTTCTGAGACCATGGTAGTGTCATGGTCCAAAGTCCTGCTACAGCTGGGGTCTGAGGTGATGTCCTTGGCCTGTGTTGCCAATGGACGTCAAGTGGAGGTCCCTGGCCTACACTGCTGCCTGAAGCCATGTTGAAGTTTGTGGGCTGTGCTGCCACGGGGGGAGCCTGCAATGCCACCTAAGGTCATAGTGATGTCTGGGTCTGTGATGCCACCAAGGGCCATGTCTTGGTTTGTGTTGGCACAAGTTGCACCGAAGGCTGGGCAGATGTCCGGAGGTCTGTGCTGCAGCCGGAAGCCATGTTGATGTTCACTTTGGAGGGCCTTGTCTGGGTCTGTGGCCCTACTACAGCCGGAAGCCCTGTATGTGCTCTGTGCTGACGCCAGACACATGGAAGCCCCTGACCCAGGCTCTCAGACAGCAAAGAGCAAATACACTACTCTGACAGTGATATCGATGACTGCAGATGCACAGTTAAGAAAGGGGGACATGGAAGACTTCTGTGACAAACCCTACCTTCACCCCAATGTGCCCTAAATAGTAACAACGTAAACAGGAAGCCATTGAAGAGAACTCTTAAAAACTGTGATAGAGCATTTGGAAAATGGCTGGTCTCTCTGCTCTGCCGTCCTTGGTACCACACACGGAGGCTAATTCTTACAAAAGCTCGGCCTTAGCTTAGCTTGTTTCTTGCCAGTTTTTCTTAAATTACCCCCTTTATCTTCTCCCTCTGGGCTTTTTCCTTTCCTTTCTTCTGTACATCTTACTTCCCTTCTTATTCTGTGGCTGGATGTGTGGCAGGATGGCTGGCCCCTGGGGTCCTCTCTCCTTTTCTTGTTCTCTCGTTGCTTTCTCGTTCTCCTTGTTTCTCCTTCCATTTATCCTCTCTGCCTGCCAGCCCTGCCTATCCTTGCTCCTGCCTCGTAATTGGCTGTTCAGCTCTTTATTAGATCATCGGGTGTTTTAGACAGGCAAAGTAACACAGCTTCACGGAGTTAAACAAATGCAGCATAAACAAAAGTCATATACCTTAAAATAGTGTTCCCCAACACCCTCACCCAAACCCATTTACATTTTATTGACTCTCCAAACTGTAAGGAGAGCTAGGAAATTCATGTTTCCATCTGGGCACATGAGTGACCTTTACAGAAGCATGCTGTCAAGAAAGAGGACAGACGCAAGAGAACCAAGCAGCTTAGCCCTTGGGACATTTTTTAAATTTAACTTCATTGTTGATTCTTTGGGAGTTTCATATCATGCACATCAGGCACCCCAATTCTGCTTCTGGTCCCCCCATCCTCCCTTCACCCCCACAAAAGGAAACAAAATAAGGCAAACAAGCAAACAAAAATAAGAACAAAACAAAAAATCAAAAACCTCTTTGCTTCTCCTTCTTTCCCCCCTCTCCAACACCTCTTCATTCATCCTAGAGGCACAGGGGGGCCTCAGCATGTCATGTAGTAGACCCTTTGTCCTACCAACCTTACTGGCAAACATTCATTGCAAGGAGTCAAGGGTCTAGCTGTGACTTTTTTGCCCCCTTCCTCCAGGGCTCCAGAAAGAGACCACAGTTCTGGACTGTTCTGCCCTGCTCTCAAGGAGCCGTGTCTCTTTCTTCCCTGAGTACATTCTAAGGCAAAGAGGGCAGGAGGGGCAGGAGGTAATTGCCCTTTGAAGGCCTTTGAGCTGAGATCATCGGGGCTCTAGACAGATGCTAACAAACAGGTGGAGCCCGAAAGCAGTAGTTACAAAGCAAGACTGGAAATGTGGAAGGTGTACAACCAGAAGGAACAGCCAAGCCCCGGCCTCACTGAAGGGGTAGATACACACAGCGTTAAGTGGTAAAGACAGGGCAGTCCCCTCAGCCGTGCCAGGAAAGAAAGCAAAAATCAAGTCTCTGCCAACTTTTCCCCCAACCAATTCCAGTTTGCCTGCCCCCTGCTCTCCCCGCCACTGCTCGAGACTCTTGTTGGTAACTGAAGCGCTCATCTTGTGTGATTTCCTCCCTCATTGCTTAATCTTGCCTTCACTCCTGAAGGCTCGGGTCCCTCCATGGCGTCCTTGACATGACCTTCACACTGCTGCACTGGCTTGTGTCTCACTGGTTTGTGATCGTATGGTTTTACTCTTGTCTTCCAGCAGGTGCATGGTAACACAAGGAAGACTTTAGGCCACACGTTAGCCTCATGTCTTATCTCAAGTAACATTGTTCATAAGCCTAGGATGAAATTTGTGTCAACTTATTTGACTTTAATCTCCACAGAAGAGTCCATAGAAGTGAATGAGAACCACCCTGAGGTGCTTTTACTCATAGAGGACACGCTGAAACACGCCAAGGAACTGAACTTTGAGCAGCCCTATGAGAAACAAGCTGAGCTACTAGAGGAAATCATCAAAGAGGTAAAGTCTCCCAAACTTTTCATGTCTCTCATTGACTTAGAAACTCATAATGTCCATTTGGTTTGTGACCAGTTGTCCCAAAGTGTTCTTTGACCCCACTCTTCAAACTCATGTGCTCTTTTGTTTACGTCATTTCTTCTATGTTTCATAGCTCTTGAGAATTTTCTACATGACTACAATGACTGTAACTGCCCCCCCCCCCCCCGTTTCCCTTCCACTTTTCCCCATATCCCCAGAAGTCAGTCTTCCTTTCTTCTCAGAGTCAGGACCCAGAAGATGCTGGCTGGACTCCTACAAGAAAAACACACCATAAATCTGTGACTTGTCTACTCACAATGGTGCTGTTCTCACAGGTAACAGACGACAACAGGAACAGGTTTCCTGGTGCCCAAAAATATGGAGGATGGATTGTGGACAACTGCCCTGTTATAAGAGATCTGTGGATGGCCTTCAATGAAAAAGGAATTGTACCTGATTTGGTTATCTCTTTTACAGATGCAGATAACAATGGTTGGTAAATATTGATTATCTAAACTTAAAGTAAAATGTTTGTTGCTGACATTTATGTTGGTTAAAATAAAGGAGAACTCTCTTTAGACAGAAATACCACCCCGACTACCACCCCAGCCATGTCCATAGGACCGAATGATGTGTGAAGTGATGTTTCCACCCACTGAGAAGGTGGCCTGGGGTGCCGCGCCACCGAACCATCTAGCAGGTTCTGGCACGCCTCAGTAGCCAGCGTCCCCTCTCAGTCAGTAGCTGTGACTTGTCAGTCAACACTGGGTACAATCCTGATGCCGAATTTAAATAGTCTACCACTTCACCTTTTAAGAAAATATATTTGAGAGGCGGTGGGGTAAATGTTTGTTCAGTCAACCCTGACAACCTGAGTTCAATGCTTGTGACCCATACGGTAGGAGAAAACCAACTCTCCGTAAGTTGTCCTCTGACTGCCAGGCATGCCCATGAGTGTACATACAAACACACACACACATGTGTGTGCAAACACACACACACAAATGTAAGAAAAAAATCTTTAAAAAAAATATTTGAAATAATAATTCCCAGTGTGAACACAGTTTTTTTTTCATGTTTTCATTATTTATTACATAGTAGCATATGCCTTTCAAAAAAAGATTTAAGACATCCTACTAAACTTTTTAAAGACTTGGAGCTCTGTTTGGATGAGAACTTACAGGGAAATTTGTGTGTGCATAGTCTAAGGTTGTTCTGTAGTTAATTTCCAAAACAGGCCACACTCTATGCAATTTCAAAATAATTTTTTTCTCTTTATCTATATTTCAGGAAAATGTTTTTTAAATAGAATGTATTTAAAGCGTAAGCCAGAGATTGATGCTAAGATTTTAGAGAGATTACAAGATGAACTGCAAATCAAGAAAAAGGAAGAGGAGGAAATAAGGTAAGGTTTGTGTAGACCGAAAAACGCTACACACTGAACATGCCCCTGCTCTCAGAGATTTTATCTTTATTTATATGTGTGTGTCAGTTGTGTGTGGGTGCCCACTGAGGGCAGAAGAGTTCACCAGATCCCCTGGAGCTGAAGTTAGAGGTAGCTATGAGCCACCCAACTTGAGTGCTGGGAAGCAACCTCAGGTCCTCTACAAGAGCAGCAAGCATTCTTAACCATGGAATCATCTCTCCAACCCCCAGTATAAACCTGCAGGTTTTATAGCCTCTCACAGGTTACACTTATAAAATGTCCCTAACATCAAAAAGATTGTCCATTAACTGCGCAAAAATCCCACTGTGTCCAAAATAAACAGGAAGTTCCTGAATATCTACTCAGTGGTAAACAGTTTCATAGCTCATTTCAAGTTTTCTTCATCAGGAGTCTGCGAAAAAAATGAGCCTAGATCACACACACACACACACACACACACACACTCACACACACAGACACACACATCTATCTGTGGTTTAATTTTAAAAACTAGAATCCACACACTGAGACAACAACACAATAGAACATAAATGAAAATATACCACATGGAATAACTAAGGGCAAATCTGTCTTGCCTCCATGGAAGGAAAGAACTGATTATGTACATCTTACAAACGCAGCGTAGGTTTGTTCTCTGCTCTGCGTGAAACAAGGCACTTTTAAAATTGTGAGCAAGGACTTACAGCTAAGGTTCAAGATTGACCTTTAATAAACTGTGACGTTCTCAGACTGAGAAATAAAAGAGTGGAACAGGTCCCTAACTAGTTGTTCTTCCTTACTGAAATGTTCTCTTCCACAGACTGTATTTGAGCCAGGCAGTGGCAGGTGGCGCACATCTTTAATCCCAGTCTGATTCAGGAGGCTGAGGCCTGTTGGTATCTGGGAGTTCTGGTCTAGCCTGTTCTACTTAGCGAGTTCCAGGATAGCCAGATCCACATAGTACAGAGACCCTGTCTCAAAAGAAAAGAAACCGAATTGGGGGGTGGGGGTAGATATGGCCGGCTGATGACAAGTCCTTGCTGTGGTTCCAGGGGCTCTGAGTTTCGTTCCCGGCACCCTCCCCAGCTACAGGACATCCAACAGCCTCCTTTAGCGCGCACGCACACATACACAGACAACATACACACCACTAAATAAAAATAATAGAAAATCTTTGGGAGCGTGGCACAAGGCAGAAGCCATGGCTGAGGGGGCGGTTGTAGCTTTGTTGTTGTTTTTAATCTTTTTTTTTTTACTATCTGGAATTTTCTAGTTCTGCAATTAATTTCTACTCATGCTCATGAGCTTCTTAATGCCCAAAACCGGTGCACGCTTCTCAAGAGTTCTATATGCTGATTCTAAAACTCAGCAATAAGCTTTTCACAAAAGCTTATTCTATATTCTAGAGGAAAATAAAACCCGAAAGAGCAAGAGAAAATGCCTCCCAGATGCATTCAGGGCTCCACAGGTTATCTAAACAGAGACAAGCGTAGCAGAGTTAAGGCTTGCATCATACATAGGTCAAACAACTAAAAACATACTAAACTCTAGGTTTCCCGACATCCGTCTGCACACAATCCAGCTGAATGACAAGGCCACCTGCCATCTTTGTCTCAAATGCTTCAGAGGTTCTTTCCCAGCCTGGCCAGGCCTGGGTCTTCCCAGCGGCATACTTTATTGATTTTAGAAAAGGAAGTTCTCATAAGCAGCCTTGCTGGAGCCGCATGACACAGACGTCAAAACAGAATGTGAAGGAGATGGGTCAAGAAGACTCAGCAGTCTGCCTGGCCTGGGCCATGAACAGGGAGAATCCCAGTAACAACAACAAGACACAGGAGAACCTTAGCTAGAAATATGGTGGTAGTGTCTCCCAAAGAGAATCATCATTAGCTTTCAGAGAAGAAAACACAGACGCAAAGTCACACCACATAGTTCTTTGGAGGGCGGTGGCTCCAAGAGCTGCTGTGGACACTGAGCCCGCCTTGCTTGCTTTCCTACCAGTGAACACTTGATGTTGTTTTGTTGTTGTTGTTGCTGTTTTCCATGATGGAACCAACTTGTTATACGTTTCGTTGTCAGTGGTATGCCTATTTCTAAATTCCTAGGCACAGGATTTCCAGCCAAGGTACATATCTCTTTACTTTTTAATAGACCAGGCCTTGCTCCCCACCTTTTGCCAACTTTCCATTTATCTATTTTCACCACTGTTGGGAAAGTTTAAGTGCCTCGACCTTCATGGAATACAAATTCCCACTGTGTGCTGAAGCTTCCATCGCCACTGGAAGGGGAGGTGTAGTTCAGTCCTGCCTAGTAAAACCTGGGTTGGTAAAAGGAAGTCATTAGTGTCTTAAAACTTTACTTTTTAATTATAAGTTTTAATTTATGTATATATATGGGGGGGTGAAGTGTGCACACGTGAATGCAGATAACCTTGGAGCCTAGAGGAGGCGCTAGATCTCCTGAAGCTGGAGTTGCAGGTGGTTGTAAGCTTGCATGTTCATGCTGGGAATAAAGCCCAGGACCTCTATAAGAGGAGCAAGCATTCTTGACCCCCGAGCCATCTCTCCAGGCTCTGATTTCTTCTGACTAAAAGAAATATTATGTTCTCTATTCCATGGAGAAAAAAAAAACTAATGCAAATATTATAAATTAAACCATTGTAATGCTACCATCCAGCAACAATCACTGTCTTTAATTTGATTAATTTTCTAGCCTCCTAGTTCTCATATCTACTGATACAAAGTTAAAATGATATCATACATATAGTTTTATACTCTACTTTTTTTTTGACCAACATTATATTGTGACTATCACCCACTGAATCTGAGGGAAATGTTATAGACCCCGCCCCTTCCTCTCAACTTACCTCAGGGAATCTTTCACTCATTTTAACAGGTTTTCTAACTGACAGCCATAGTATAAAATAAACATTCCCCACCTTCTTACCAAAACTACCCCAGTACTGACTGAAAACAAACTGGCTTCAGCCTGAGTGAACTGTACACTGTCATAGGACGCAGAATGGAAGATTAACAATGAAGTATTTGCTGCTTACCACCATGAGAATTTAACCTCCTAGTAATGAGAAGTGTCTGTTTTTTTTTAAAATAAAATAAAATAAAATAAATTTTGGACGTTCTCATTTCAGAAAAGCCAAAGAAGAAGAAATGAGACTAGAAGAAGAAAAACAGAGGCTGATAGAAAGTGCGGCCAAGAAAGAAAAAGGCAAGCACAGATTGTAAAAGTAGTAGTGTGTCATTTAATCTTGTATCGTTACTGCCACTTTCGAGTGGATTTCCAGTGTATCCCCTGGTCCTGAAAGTACCCCTTCTTCCCCCAGCATCTGTTGCTGCTTGTTTTACTCTTTTCACTCTTTACTCTTTTGGGGGGCAGCCAAATGGAGGTTTATTCTTTCTTATGAATGCCCAGCCTTAGCTTGGCTTGTTTCTTGCCAGCTTTTCTTAAATTATCCCGTCTACCTTTTGCCTCTGGTCTTTTACCTGCCTCTATTTCTGTATATCTTTTCTTCTTATTCTGTGGCTGGCTGTGTGGCTGGCCCCTTCTTTCTCCTTGATCTCTTTTTTATCCTTCTGTTATTCTCTCTGCCTGCCAACCCCACCTATCCTTTCTCCTGCCTTGCTATTGACCATTCAGCTCTTTGTTAGACCAATCAGGTGTTTTAGGCAGGCAAAGTAACACAGCTTCACAGAGTAAAAGAAATGCAACATAAAAGAATGTAACATATTTTTGCATCATTAAACAAATATCCCACCGCATAAATAAACATTGCACATCTTCAAATAATATTCCACATCAAACATGTTCCAAATTCCATAATAAAGTATCTTCTCACTGGGATTATGGGTTCACAGGGCAGATTCCTAAACCAAAAAGGGGCACTGCTAGAAGAGTGCCCCCTAGAAGGACACACTGCAGAACATGCCTCTGTCGTGGATTGCACATAGGTGCTGGAATCGCTTCTATTGGAAGAATCCTGCAAGGGCTGAGGACACAGCCAAACTCTTGCAATACCCAGTGTCTTCATACTTAAAACTTCCACTGCTTTTATGGAAGAACTTTCTCTTTTAAAATTGGGGTTCTCAAACTGAGGTCTATGAATTAAGTTCCAGATCTATGAACTTTAAATCTATTTTCAATGACTTTGACTGAGCCTTAGAGTCTCTTGACTACTAACACAGAAAACCACTGTGGTGTTAGCTGTCCTGTCCCTCGGCTTGTCACCAATACAAATGCAGATATTTGTACATTGCTCCACAGTGTGTATATATATATATATATATATATATATATATATATATATATATTTACTGCTGTTGCAGTTGTAGTAGTTATGAAGCTGGATACTATTTCTTCTTTAACATTTCCTATAGCCCCAAAATAATTTTATGTTTTAGCAACTGGTTTTCAATATAACTAGTTTCTTGTGTATTTTATTCTCTGAGTCTGACAGTTTTATTCTGAAAAGAAGTCCATAAGCTTCATAGGACTGCCAAAGAGACCATGGGATTAAAAGAGTTATCCATTGCTCCACCTCCAACCACTCCAAAGTGTAGTACTGTAAAACAATTATTTTACTGCATGGCCGTTTTGTGCGTTGGGACTTTGAGTGGGCCCAACTGAGCACCTTGGTTCTGGTTGTAAACAGGCCATCCTGGAAATGAGTCCTAGCCCCATTTACATGCTCAGATACTGCAACCCTGGTCAATATCTTCACCAGCTTAGGAACACTAAGCCAGGACCTCTCAGCTGAGCCGCTGCTAAATTCCTCACTCCCAGAAACTGCGGGGATAACGGGTGATGGTTTGGAGGGATCCGTTATGAATCAGTAGGTAACAACACGTGGTCAATAATGAAATTACAAATAGTTCAAAGATCTCAAAATGCCTTTTAACCCATTCCTGACCTGTGTGGTGCACAGCTGCCCCACTGGGCTCTTCTATTTATGTGTTTCTTTTATAATGTACCTACTATAGATAAATGTAACATAAATAAGTATACATTTTAGAAGCATATGATTTTTAAGTTGAAAGAAAACTCAAGTTCCTTCACTGGCCACATCATTTCATCCCAAGTTATACTAGGAGCCCAAACAACCTCTGCTGTGCAATTCCATGAAATCTTAACCCCAACACAAGGACACTCACCATGTTCCCAGCTGTGTTCTTGGAAGCCTCGTGTGCTGCCGTCCTGTTTCAAATCTTGATTTAGATCAAATCCAGGTGCCAGAGACTCTCCGTCAGAACTTGACCCTTGGGAGAAAGCAGGGGGGGACCAAAGGCCCGTGAAAACTCAGAGAAGTGATCTCACTAACCCGGCCATATCAGTCTTTCGCAGGAAGGGCCTTGTCTCCGTCTTCCTACACATACTGTGTCAACTCCATCACTACATGAGAGAGATAGGGAAGATGGGCTCCCTGGCAGCACTTCCGTGGCCCTTCTAAAAAACATCCATGCCCCCAAGCTCATCAACAAACACAACGAGTTTGGAGTCATGCTTTCTATATTGACAGTTGAAACATAGGTGAATATACTATATTATTACAATGAGTTATAGTAAATCTATTATTACATCTGTGCTACCTGTGTATCTAGGGAGTCTAGTCTGGTGCTGCCTATGGGAAACAATATAAGCCACATAAACTACCTTTAAATTTTCTAGCAGCTACATATTTTAAGTTTTTCACACTAATTATTTGGAAGCCATAATCTATTTTGTCTTTGCATATATCTCAATTTAGACTAGCTTCAAGTGCTCAGTAGCCACACACAGTGGCTGCCAGAGTAGGTAGAATGGGCCTTACTCTTTCCTTGTTAGATGGATATTGGGCTTTTTCTAGTCTCTTACTGTTAAAGTATGTGGAATGGCTATACATTCTTCTTCTTTTAAATGAGCCCTTCCTCTGGTTCTCCAGTAGCACCCTGATAGAGTGGCTGTCAGTTTTCACCACACCATATTAGTCGATAAGATCCAGTGGTGACTCATGTATCTCCATCACTAACCAGAGGCAGGGCGGGCACCACGCTCTTATTTTCTCCTCTAGCATCTGTTGGCTTTAACTGAATAACAATTTACTCCGTGTTATTCTCTGTAGATGTTGAAGAGCCTGATAATGAAGCTGAGGAGGAGGTTGAAGGGGAAGATTCTGAAGCCCATGAAGAGCCTGAGGCACCTGAGATGCAAGAGGAAACCCGAGGGTCGCTGTTACCTGAGGAGTCTGAAGCTGAGGTCCCGGAAGCTGAGCATGAGCCTGAATCAGGTTACACTTGACTGGCGGCTCTGTGTGTGTGTGTGTGTGTGTGTGTGTGTGTGTGTGTGTGTGTGTGTGTGCCTGCGCGCATACATGTGTGTATACACATGCGTGAGCGAGTATGCTTGGGTGTATGAGTGTATGCAAGTGTGAGTGTGTACATGAGTGTGCATCTGCACACTCTGGCTTGTGGTGGTCAGAGGTCAACTTTCTGGAGCTCAGTCTGTGAACAACAGTCCCGTGAGGAACTGAACTTTCTGCTGTCTATAGATTGGCCCAGACAATCTGGCTCTGAACATTAAGAGTTTTCTACAGTCACTGGAGCTCTCATCAGCTAATCAATCACACCATAGGGTCAGTTCTTCCCAGGACTTCTCTGATGCCCCTCTGCTCTTTATGTGATAACCACTGAACTAAACGTGTTCTGTCCGTCAGCTCTGCTTCAGACACCTCTGCGCCCTACTCTTCTGCATATATACATGCACATATACACACGAATCCATATCTGTCTTATATTCCATCCTGCGACTGAGATTCTGGCAGACTTGGTGCCGTCTTTCTGCCTGAGCTCTCACGAGTGTGACTGTGTATGTTTAGTCTCTGTTCTATTGCCGTGAAAAGACACCATGACCAAGGCAATACTTACAAATATTTATTTTAACCTCAAGTATGTGCCACAAACCTTAAATTACTGTTTTTATTTTGTGCTGAAGATTCGATTTCTGTCCTTTGGGTTCTAGACTCCCAATCTTACATACAGTCAAGAATTAAAAGCACAAGGGACGGGTTAACTTTAGAACAGGAATGGGGGAGAGTAGAGTTTGCAATAATTTTTATCTTTTCTTTGGATAATATTTTTATCTATTATATATTAAGACCTTTTTGCTGCTGCACTGCAGAGCCAGCTGTGAGACACTCTTGAAGACTGAATTACTCTCTAGTCTGAGAGATGTTTATTTATTCAACTCAAAGCCCTACCCAAACTGGGGAGGGAGGGACAAGAGAGAACCTTTGTCTTCTCCGCTCTCTCTCACCTTCTCCTGCAGGCTTCTGCCTCTTAAAGCAGCTCCCTGTCACTATCACGTTGTCCACTACAAATGCCTGTCCCTGGGCTGGCAGTGAGCTCCGAAGCCTTCTTCACAACTTGATTTAAACTTTTGCACTCTATGATTTTTCTAGAGGTTTTTAGGACTTTTGTGATCTTAAACCTGTCCAAACTCCACTTCCTAAATTTTAAGGACTTTAATAAAAATTTTACATTGAAAGTGCTGGCGCCAAAGAGATGAGTCAGCAGTTAAAAGCCCTTGCTGCTCCCACAGAGGATCCGGATTCAGTTCCTAACACCTACACTGCAGCTCGCAACTTCCCATAATTCCAGTTCCAGGGGATTCAACACCCTCTTCTAGCCTCCAGTTCAATCACAGATATGTAGACAAAATACTAACATGCATGAAAATATTAAATAACCCTTTTAAAAGAAAAAGGGTTAAGTTGAAGGCATCATTTGTAGTCACCCAAAGAACTTCCTGCATCTTGTTAACATCTGGGCTATAATGCCTGACTCTGTCTGCTGATCTGTTTCCTGGATTTTTTCCCCTTAACCCTTTGTTGTCCTGTGAAGTTAGTTAGTGAAAGAAATGATGCATTTCCCCAACCCCATGCTATAGATGAATTTCAAGTCTTATTGTAATTGTTCTGGCTTTTAAAAACACAGAAACCCTCTCAAGTCCAAAGATTTAATAGGCATCTCAAAACCCTCCAAGTTTATTCTCTCATGGTCTCAGTGGTCTTCTACTGGTCATGATTTATAGTGTTTCATTCAATGAGCAATTTATAATTACACATGTTACCCACAAAACTCTTGGGTTTATCCCTTTTCTACTTTCTGTTCTAATATAAGCTTAAATGTTATAGATCCTATTGAAAGCGTACTAAAGTATTAACTCAGAAGATAGTATTATATGATTATGTATGTATATATGTGTGATATACATTCATGTATATATAATCTTCATAAAATGTGTATCTTGGAATTGGGAGCAGACTTGGGGACTTTGGGGTGAGAAGATATGGAAGTCGTCTGCATGTCTAAAGCCATCTGGGCTGGATATGTGTGTGAAAGGTGTCTTGTATCATGGAGCTTCACAGCCTGTCCCTTTGAAGGTGAAATCGCTGGGACTCTCTTCAGGTCCCCCTCCCACTCCTGCACTGCCGTCCTAGCCACTTGATAACTCTTAGTGTATCCTCAGGGATAGTTTAGTGAGAAATTAATGAACGGTCAGACATTAGATCTGATGCCGCAATAATGGGGTTTTAAAAACACTTATCAGTCACCAGGATGGTGTGTGCCATGTGTTCACTGTTATTCTAGAGGTCTTGGCAGGGAGGCTGTGCATGCATGTGGTACAGGTGCATAGTGCGTTGGCGCACCTGTACCTGAGCGTGAGAGGGGAGGGAGGACTTTGGGTGTCTCCTTCCATCACGCTCTTCCTCACTGCCTCCAGTCATGGTCTGTCGGTGAGCCAGATGTTCACCATTTGGCTAGATTGTCTGTCCCATGAGCTCTCAGAGCTTGTCCAGCTCAGCTCCTCAGTGCTAGGGTTGCAAACACACACAGTCATGCTCGGGTTTAGATCTGAGTACTAGGGATTCAAGCCCAGGCCCTTGTGCCACAAGGCAAGCATCTTTCCAGCAAAGAAGGCCGCTCCAGCCCTTCGATGTCCTTTTGTATATTTAAGTTGTCATTTTCTGCCTTGTACTCTATTTTTCAACCATCCTTTTAAAAAAAATCTATGTTTTCAATTAGACATACCATCTGTAATCTCTGGGCCAACACTTTCATACAGAGTAACAACATTTTAAAATTCAAGCACTCACTTAGATTTCTTTCTTAAGTCCCTGAGCCTCCTGAGGAAACTGCTGTTGAAGCCGAAATTCCAAAAGAACCCAAAGAGGTCCTGGAACCTGAAGAAGCAACTGAAGCAGGTTAGTCTAGAAAATATAAATTCCCATTTGTAGAAGTGTTTTCTAATGGATCAAACCTTAAGTTGGGCCACAGTCTCTGCTTACTTCTTGCTACGCTGTATGTCAGCTGTCTTAGGGTTTCGACTGTGACTAGGACATTTAACTGGGGTGACTTACAGTTCCAGAGGTCTATTCCATTGTCATTGTCGTGGCCCATGACAGCATGCAGGCAGACATGGTGCCAGAGAAGGCTGAGAGTCCTCCATCTTGAAGGCAACAGGAAGTGAACTGTCTATCACACTGAGTGTAGCTTGAGCAAAGGAGACCTCAAAGTCCACCCCGCAGTGACACACTTCATCCTTTAAGGCCACATACTCCAACAAAGCCACACCGCCTCATAGTGCCTCTCCCTCTGGGGGCCGTTATCTTTCATACTGCCACACTCTACTCCCTGGTCCCAAAAGGCTGGTAGCCACGTCATAATGCAAAAATGCATTCAGTCCAGTTTCAAAAGTCTTCATAGTCTATAACAGTCTCAAACGTATTTAAAAGTCTGAAGTTCAAAGTCTCTTCTGAGATTCAAATAATCTCTTAACTGTAATCCCCTGTAGCGGCGTAAACGAATGCAGACAGAGTGTAAAAATATATATATAGCTTTAATGTAGAAATAGACTTACAGAACCACCGTTCCCGCGGAGACCAGGAAAGCAGAAGCGAGCAGCTCGGAGCTTGCTCGCCAAATTTATAGGCAGACATTAGCCCGAGGCGAACACACCCCTTAAGGGGCGGGACTTATCCCTACATCTCCCCTTTTTGTCTAAGTAAGACAGAACTAAACCAAATACAACTACATACAATAACAACAAATAATAAATACAACAAACAATATTGAGAACAAAAGCTTTGCTAAACATTCTATCTCAAGAAGTCCAAATAATGTAAAGAGTAACTACAATTATATAATCTTCAACTCAGTCAAAGATCTGAGAAGGGAATAAACACTACTCAACAAACGAGATATATCCAAAATGTGCAACAATTGACAGAGACAACTGACTACCTGGGCAATCACCCAAAGTCTCGTTTGCAACGTTGAGTCAACCAATTTTGGCTAAGGCCTAACATAACTGACATACCATTATTAAAGGCAAGGAACTTTTCAAAACTATCTTACCCTGTCTTGGCAGGATATGACAGTCCTGTTTTATCCATTGATGCACGCTCTGTATCTGTGTCAGTGGTTGAGGTATGGGCATTTCTTTGCCTAAAGGCCAGTTCTGCCAAATAGAAAGGCTCCAGGTGGAGTGTTTTTGGTGCTCAACATTCTCTCGGGAATAGAGCGGTGTTGCCAGGAGCAATTGTGTCTCACTATCACAAAACTCTGAGTTAGATTAAAGGCCATTTTCTACAGCTCTTTGAAGAGGTTGAAGATTATCTATTTATACTGAGTATAATCTCTATATATCTAAAGAACCTGATTAGTCTAATTATAAATGACAAACTTAGATGACAATTAGTCTATATAATTCTCAATATCTATCTAACTTAAAGACTAAGACAATAAACGACTGTGAAACAAATGAGGACAATGACCTCCAAATATAAACAATGTACAAATATACATTGCAGTAGGTAAATATATATCAATACACAAATATTATATAAGTATCTTAATCAGAGGTAGAAATGTACACTGCAATATGGTAAATATATACAATATATATATCAATACAATATATGTCAATACATAAAAATGTTTTAAACAGAGGTAGAAACATGCATGCGTACAATAGTCAATCTATACCAATATATTTGTCTATTATCCCATCATCCCTCTTTTTTTTTTCAAAATGATCCCTGAGCTTATAAAATTCCTCCCCAACCCTCAATCATATACTAATTATAATCAACCCCTAAATGATGTCCCTAAACCCAAGGGCAAACTTTACTGGGAGAGGGGACGTCGTTCTCTAGAATTACTTCCAGCTGTCATAGGGGTGACGTTCTTTCTGGGGGATCCTGTGAAAGTAAAATGATGGTTAAATTTCAAGATAATGTCTTTTAAAATTGCAAATAGTCTCTGAGTATTTTCGTGCAGGTCTGGCCAAAATGTTGTATAAGATGTGCACCATTTCAGCTAACCAAGTTGGAACTGTCTTGTGCAGCTGGGACCCAAAGCAGGTCTTGTAGTAGCGCTATCAGTATCATGACGTCATATCAACCAGGTGGAGTTGTTGTTATGGGGCCCCATCTTCTTCCTGGAAACTTCAAATGTCACTTCAGGAAAAACTCATTGTTCAATATGAAAAACTTAAACATTAATCATATAGACATATATAGACATATATATATATATTCAATGAAAGACATGATAGATATATTCAATGAAAAGTATGATAGATATGAAGAAAAGCAAAGATGTTTTCTAAACTCATATTTCTTTCTGTCCCATATCATGGCTCTTGACATGAGACAGAAACTCCAGAAACTCTGGGTTTTTCTCTTACTAACAGGCTTGGAATTGGAGAGGGACTGAGCCAGAGTCCAACTTCAAAACCAGCTTTATAAATTTAGAAATATGGTTTAATATTACTTACACAACCCATTCAGTTTTCTTGATATTTCCTATTGGGCAGGTATTTTTCCATCTGTCAGTATCCAAACATCCAGGGTCCCTTGAATTTCTCAAAGATGAGTGTTTTCCTGTGGAGATAAGAACAGAACCCTGCCCCCATTCTATATGTTTTTCTTACCACCTGTATGAATATCATCGTTGTGGATGAGTTGTCATTTCTCCTTTCCAAGAGGTTTCTCCTCTTCAAATCGAAACTTTATTAATTTTGATGGTATCCACAATTTTTCTTCTCCTGTGGAAACAAGAGCAAAACCCCTTCCCCAACGTAGCACATCTCCTGGCTTCCACTGAGAGGTCAGCACATCTTTGAAATAAATCGGTTGATTTAGTTCAGCAGACTTTTCCATTATCCAATGTCTTTCTGCTGCTGTCGTTCCTTTCTCATTAGCGTTAAGAAAATTCAAGGTTAATAAAGCATTATGTAATCTATTTCTGGGGGTATTTTCAGTCCCTTTCTGTTTGTTCAGCATATCCTTTATAGTACGATTTGATCTTTCTATTACTGCCTGACCTGTAGGATTATTTGGTATACCTGTAATGTGTTTTATATTATAATAATCAAAAAAGCGTTTCATTTTCTTAGATACATATGCTGGACCATTATCTGTCTTTATTTGCGCAGGTATACCCATGATGGCCATAACTTCCAATAAATGTGTGATTACTGAATCAGCCTTTTCTGAGCTCAGGGCAATAGCCCATTGAAAACCTGAATATGTGTCTATGGTGTGGTGTACATATTTTAATTTGCCAAATTCTGCAAAGTGGAACACATCCATCTGCCAGATTTCATTCCTTTGGGTGCCCTTTGGATTAGCCCCTGCAGGCAGTGGCGTTTGGTTATAGAAAGAGCAAGTAGGGCATTTCTTTACAATCTCCTTAGCTTGTTGCCATGTAATTGAAAACTCTTTCTTCAAACCTTTGCTATTAACATGATGTTTTTTATGAAATTCAGAGGCTTGTAGCACACTACCAATCAATAATTGATCAATTTCTGCATTACCTTGTGCTAGAGGACCTGGCAGACCCGTATGGGATCGGATGTGTGTTATGTACATAGGGCAAAGCCTGTTCCTGATCAAATCTTGAACCTGGAGGAACAATGAGGTTAGTTCAGTATCATCAGGTATAAATTCAGCAGTTTCAATATGTAAAATAACTCTTTCTGCGTATTGTGAATCTGTAACTATATTAATAGGTTCTTTAAAATCCCTTAGCACCATAAGAATGGCATATAATTCCGCCTTCTGGACAGAAGTATATGGACTTTGTTCCACCTTATCCAAGTCTTCTGATTTGTAACCTGCCTTCCCTGATTTATTGGCATCAGTATAGAATGTACGGGCTCTAGTTATTGGAGCATCACGGACGATTCGAGGAAGAATCCAAGAAGTTCTCTTTATGAAGTTAAGCCGCTTGCTTTTTGGATAGTTGTTATTAATGTCTCCCAAAAAATTAGCACAAGCTCTTTGCCATGGTTCATTATCTTCCCATAATTTCTTTAGTTCATCAGCAGTGAAAGGCACTATAATTTCTGCTGGGTCTATGCCTGCTAGTTGACGAAGTCTCAGCTTGCCTTTTATAATTAACTCAGAGACTTTTTCCACATAAGTTTTCAGTTTCTTACTTGGTTTATGTGGTAAAAAGATCCATTCCAAAATAATATCATCTCTCTGCATTAAAATTCCTGTAGGAGAAATTTTTGATGGTAGTATGACGAGAATACAATCGAGCTCTGGATTCACCCTGTCCACATGTGCCTGTTGTAATTTTTCCTCAATCATTGTCAGTTCCTTTTCTGCTTCAGCTGTTAATTCTCTGGGACTGTTTAAATCCTTATCACCATCCAAGGTTTTGTTCAAATGAATTATTAGATCAGGTGTTATTCCAATAGCTGGTCGTAGACTGGAAATGTCTCCTAACAGTCTTTGAAAGTCATTAAGAGTCCGTAGGCGATCTCTCCTAATTTGTGCTTTTTGTGTCTTAATTTTTTGCAAACCTATTTTATAACCTAAATAATTAACAGAATCTCCCTTCTGAATCTTTTCAGGAGCTATTTGCAATCCCCATTTAGGTAAAAGTATCTTTATTTCTTCAAACAGTCTGTTCAAGGTATCCATGTTTGAATCGGATAACAAGATGTCGTCCATGTAATGGTATACTATAGATTTGGGAAATTTCTTGCGTATTATTTGCAATGGTTGGTTCACAAAATATTGGCACAGGGAGGGGCTATTTAACATGCCCTGGGGGAGAACGGTCCAGTGGTACCTCCTCGAAGGTTGAGAATTGTTGTAAGTAGGCACTGTGAAGGCAAATTTTTCTCTATCTTCTTTTTGCAAAGGTATAGTGAAAAAACAATCCTTTAAATCAATAACTATGAGAG